GTGTGTGTGTGTGTGTGTGTGTGGGTGTGTGTGTGTGTGTGTGTGTGTGTGTGTGTTGCAGTTTGTCCAAGTGGCAGGTATGGGAGAGCCTGTGCTGAGATCTGCCTTTGTACCAACAACGGCACCTGCAACCCCATCGATGGCTCTTGCCAATGCTTCCCTGGCTGGATAGGAGAGGATTGCTCTCAGGGTATAGCTTCTCTCGTTCACCTTGTGTTTGATCGGCTTATTTGATTTGAAATCCCCTCTCATTGTCTGTCGCCACTCCTAATTTCCCCCCTTATATCTACCTTCATATGCATTAATCATTTTCATGACCCTACACATCCGAGGAACTACCCTCAGCCCGGGCTGATGTAAAACTGATAGCTTGCTTAAATGATTGTTGTAATACATTATGCTCTTTGATTTACAGCGCTGGAGGCCAAAGATCATTAGCAGAGCTTTGAGCTGTCATGCCTTGAAAAGTCTGTGTGGTTTTTATTGCATTAACTACTTATATACAAAAACGTATGATCAGATTGGTGACACATTACCAATGCTTCACTTTGGGTTATTCAACCTGACACATACGTCTGCTCTTTATCTGCAAGTCTAAATGGAGCAATTTCCATTTTTCTCCCATGGTAGACAATAAAGTTACCTTGACCTGAACACTAACCTTAACATATTTGATCTAGGAGGGAGGTTCTGCAAGGACCTTTGTTAAGTGCATGCATTATTTGTATGTGTAGAAAATATTAAGACGTCCTATCAAACATATGGGTTATGTTTCGTGTATGCATGCATGCATGTGTGTGTGTGTGTGTGTGAGCATGTGTGACCATGGGCTTGACTGTGTCTCTGGCATCTGCAGCCTGTCCCTCTGGGCACTGGGGCCCTGATTGTCTCAACTCGTGTAACTGTCACAACGGAGCCCAGTGCAGTGCCTACGATGGGGAGTGCAGGTGCAGCCCCGGCTGGACCGGACTCTACTGCACACAGCGTGAGTCTCTGCCGTCCAGTCACGTAGACACACACTGTCATCTACTGGCAGTCCCACAGAACTGCAGCAGATGACATGTGAGAATCATTTTGGGCAACCGGATGATGTTAGGTTTTTATTTACTCCCCTTTTTTTCTTCAGAGGGAGCAACATCCAAATAACGCTAATGGTCACTCCATTGATTTGCTAATTATACATTCCAGTCATTCACACAGGGATAGTGCACATCATCAACATCAGTCAACTAATTTGAATTCCATTATCAAACACCCCAAGGGTCTCTCTGGTGTCATGCTTCTGCTCTTTTGCATGGAAATGACTTTTGTTTGAACGGTTTGCTTTTTTCTCACATAGACTTTCACCATTTCCAGTCGTCTCATTCTTTATCTCCATGTTATGCTAACAGCATAACCACATTTTGTGCTGAAGAGGAAATGTTTAATTTCCATTCATTCACAGTGTCCTTTATTGAGTGTGCTGCAGAGACATTAAATAGTATTGATTTCTGTTTTCCCCTGAGATATGACCTTGACTCTTGACAATGTCTTCCACTCTCTTTGTTTTCTCCTCCCCTCCCATCACAACATTTTGACATCTGTGTCCAGGTTGTCCTTCAGGGTTCTACGGCAGAGACTGCTCTGAAGTCTGTCGCTGCCAGAACGGTGCAGATTGCGACCACATGACTGGCCAGTGTGCCTGCCGCACAGGCTTTATTGGGACGAGCTGTGAGCAGAGTTGAGTAGGCCCACCACATTTTATCGCCGAGCAAAAATTACCTTGTGGTGTGTGTCCATAAACACTTTGGCTCCCACTCCCTAAGTGCTTTAATTTTGATGGATGTAGTAATGCACCTCTCTCCCATGCAGAGTGTCCTGCTGGTACATTTGGATACGGCTGCCAGCAGCTTTGTGAGTGCCTCAACAATGCTACCTGTGACTACGTGACGGGGACGTGCTACTGCAGCCCTGGATATAAAGGCATCCGCTGTGATCAAGGTGAGGGGTGATCGAGATGATCGAGGCTCTCCACTGTATTATCACTCAAACACAGATGTGTACACATTGTTTAAACAACCCACTCTGTGTGTTTTCTCTGTAGCAGCTCTGATGATGGAGGAGCTGAACCCGTACACTAAGATTAGCCCAGCACGAGGTTCAGAGCGCCAATCTGCCGGAGCTGTTATGGGCATCATCTTTCTGCTCCTCATCATCATGTCCATGCTCAGCCTGTTTGTGTGGTACAGGCAGAGGCAGAGGGAGAAAGGCCATGAGATCCAGCCCAGTGTGTCCTACACACAGGCGATGCACATCACCAACACAGACTATTCCCTGTCTGGTAAGCTGTTTTACAAACTATAAATATATACATATATTCTCACTATGGACACATGCTGCATGCTAGGGTGGAAATGTAGATCTACAACAATGAGCTAATAACAAAAGTCCTTCCTCCAAACAAAAATATCAGAACCAAAAATATGAAATATCTAAATATCTGTGTTTTTTTAGGTGTTGATTGGTCAAAACAATCATTTTAACTATTGATACATGTATTGTTGGCAAAGACAGATATTTGAGATAAGATCTTTGTGCATGCACAAAAATATTGAAATAAAGTTATCAAACCTCGCCTGTTGTTTGACCCGCAGAGTGTGGCAGTACGGTAGCAATGAGGACCAGCGCTGCGGAGGTCAACCCGGCGCAGGGCAGCGTTGGCAGTGTTGGCAGCAGCGGGCAGTGCTTCTCCAACCCCAGCTACCACACTGTAGCCCAGTGCAACGTGGTCTCAACCATCTCAAGCAACCTGGACGGCACTCTGACCCTCAAAGTAAGATCACTCTCCATATTTATTTACATTTAACGTAACTTACTACATAATCCTTTCATTTACTAAAGTATAAAAGCAACACACACTGTGCTCTTTCTTTCACAGCCAGGCACTTTGAAAAGTCGGAACGGCGCAGAATGGAGAGCCTACTGCAACCTCAATGACCTCGGTCAGTTTACCTCTCTTACTTATGATAAAACAACACACACAGCCCCATTTTTAGACTTTGTAGAACCGTCACTTCAAGGGCAAAGGCACATGAGTCGTTAGCACAAACGTCATATCGGCACATCCTGGACACAGCTACCCTGTTCTGAATGAAGATGAACCGAGGGTTTCTTGTTAGACATAACCTTTGCTCTTATTTTGATTATATATGCGGGTTGGACAGGGAGAGCTGTGGTGAGGAGGTGTACAGGGTCACTGCGAGCTCATTAGTCCTCTTTCACTTCCCCCAGTGGCACATCTTTCTGTGATGCCTCACTCTGGGTCAGAAACTGCCCTCCAGGGCTGTGAATTATAGATAATTAAGTGTGACAGAAAATGACTCTATAATAGCTTAAATCTATTCTTCAAATACCCATATTAGATTTATAAACAATACACAAACATGTAATAAGTCTTTTATAATGCATAACTCATATTACAGTATATGTACTGTAGTTGTTTAAGAATCTTCCTATAGGCAACCAAAAGTGAGGACTGGTGTATAAAGACCGAACAATAACAACGAAGAATATCATAATTGATCATATATAATGTAAAACATGTCTTCATACTGTAGGAGAAATTATCATTTTTAACACAAAGTGTACATTAATGAACACTAAATTACCTCCAGTCATAAATTAACAGATATATCATACTGTGTGTCTTTTCGGAAATAAAGTATAATTTCCACATTAAAATCCATAAAAGAGCATAAATTCTTACCTAATTAAATTAAAAATAAAATGTGCATCTATTAAAATAAAATACATATCTTATCATTTCTAAAGTTTTCCTGCTAGACACAAGATGCTTGCTATCTCACAAAAAGCCCATTCTTGATGTATGTGCAAAGGCGGCTGCAAGTTATTTTACAATACTTTTGTAAGAATTGCAAATTGGATTAAGAATGACTTCCAAAGTAGTTGTGAGGACACAAATCACAGCACAGAAAAACTCCATGTTCAGCAGTTGAATGTGAAAACAGCCTTGTGTCAAACTCTGCATGTACAGTATGTACTTCACAGTGAAACACAAACATCCAACTGGAGGAACACGAAGAAAAACATATTTGCAAGTTAAGGGAGGCCGACTTTAAAAATGTGTCTCTTGGTTTGTGGTGAAACAAACTGAAAGAGATTGTAAATACTGTCATTCACAAATCTAAATGTCCATGACTAATTCTCTGTCGTGCTTGACTTAAAGTCTGATGTCTTGATTTACACATTTTAATTTAGTGTGAGAGCACACAGCAGATTGATCATAACGACAAGCTCCTCTCAGAGAGCAGTGCTGTATGTTAATTGATGTAGCGTTAAACAGGCTTGTCCTCTCTTCATGGTGTGTTGTTGTTTGGCACACATCCCATTATGACCACAGTCAATTATGCAACCTTGTAAGCCTTGAGGGAAACATACAGTAACTCCTCATATTCTTAATATTTTCCAAAATAATGACAAACATAGCACTTTTTAATTAGATGTTTTCTGTAAATGCTCATGCATTTGGGGAATTCATTTATGGTTTTGAACAATATGTTGACATTCTTTACAGATGTTCAACAGGGGGAGACACAGACACAGAGAAGCTCCAAAAAAGGTAAATGATGTATTATATAACAGTGTGTGTTTGTGCTGTGTGTATGTAGGAAGGTTAGCAGACATGCTGCATGTGGTATCCTGTTTAGCTTCACCAGCACCAATATGCTCGACATGTCAATTTCCCCATTTGGTTTCATTTCCCATCGGAGACTCTCTCACCCCGAACCCATATCCTTATATTCTCCATGATTTATTTGAAAACTCTCTGCACTTTGGACAAGATCATGGTGGGCTGGGGTTTTGTTCCAACAGTAATTGCTGTCTATGGCTCAGTGCCCGATACGTCATTTGGTCTCCCACACTGTGCAGTGGCTGCTGAATGTGAGGGACCCAGGGGTGTGGAGAGTGGTCTGAAGGAGCTCTGCTGTGGTCTCTAATGAGGCCTCTTATCAGACTGATGAGACTGTTATGGATGAGATGAGCCTTCCACTCTTTTCCCCTTTGTACTCTGATTACTATCTACCACCATTAGTCACCTGGCGGAGACAAAAAAAAAGCAAAACTCTTCACAATGTTCCTTGCCATTCTCCAGACCGTACTAATTTCTATTTAAATTGAAGTGGTCATATCAGAGTTGAGCTTTAATACCCCTGCAATAAGTCAGTGACAATCCCTTAATCTTTATTGATGGCGAATATGTCCTTGTCTCACGGCTACTGCAGATTACATCAAGAGCTCCATGTGCAGCAACAGCTCCTGCTCCCTGAATAGTGAGAATCCATACGCCACCATTAGAGACCCACCAGGCCTGGCTTGCAAGCACACAGAGAGCAGCTATGTGGAGATGAAGTCCCCCTCCCACCGGGAAGTGCCCTTTGGAGGCACTGCCACCCTCCTAGGCAGTGCGGGCAGGAATGTCTATGATGTTGGTGAGTGCGTTATTGCTCTGCTGGGTGGAGCTCAGCAGGGTCCTGCAGCTCGTAGCCTTGCTGGTCATGCTCCCTGCTGAGGGCCTGTGCAGACTTTGTAAGCCTTTATAAGGGGAAATGTGAGCTGACTCTATTGCATGCACTTCTCTTTTCTCCTTTTGTTCCTCAGCCTGTGCCTGACACTCTTCCTCTGTGTTTCTCATGTTCCTCTCCTACTTGTGTTCCTTCCTTCTTTCCTAAACTACTACAGAGCCAACAGTGAGCGTCCTGCAGGGACCCAACGGCATGGCCACCGGCTTCTCCCAGAGCCCCTATGACCTCCCCCGCAGCAGCCACATCCCCAGCCACTATGACATACTTCCCATGCGTCATACCCCCACACACACACCCCTGCCACCCCCAGAAAGCCCCAGCTCCCTGCTCTAGAGGGCAAGACCCCCCGCCCCGGCTCACAGGGAGCGGCAATCGTCAACCAACTTTCAACCAACGGCCCTCCCTCTTTCTCAGAGTGTGTTCAATTAGATACTGAGATGTTGATAAGTTGAGATGGAGGGACAGCCACAGCTCTTCTGGACCCTACTCTCTTTGGCTCCTTCACTCACATTTGTTGGAGGAAGTGGAGGAAAGAATGTCCCACACACCAGCGACCATTCAACCATTTTATTTTCCTATAGAACTGATCACTCAAACTGCAGCCCGGCCTCTTTATGGACCTCCTGAAGTGGAACATGATGGTTCCAAGCTGCGCAAAGGGCAGCGTACATGGACTGGGCGGACAGATTATTTACAGGGAGACAGACATCCTCACGCTCATTTCTACCCCGTGATATAGGGTTACTATTCAAGGGCAACCAAGTGTTTATAATGCGCCCTAAACAGAAGTGATTTTCTCCACAGGAAAGGAAGGTATATACTAAACTTGACTATTTCGAAACGGGTGAGATTTACTACATACACATCAGAGTTTATGAAGTGCGACTGTGTGCAGAAGCTGCAGATCGCATGCAGCTGACATGGAGGGATTATGGTCTGCTCTGAGGGGAGAATGGTTGAGTCAAAAAGAAGAGGACTCTGTGATAAATGTTAAATACAGAAATCCAGCAGAAAATTCAATAAATAAATAAAAATAAAAACAGATACAGTAACTATGAGTTTCCCCCCTCACTGATGAAGTGATCAGATATTGTGTTGTTTTTTATGTGAAAGCATTTTCTTCTTGCAAATGTCTTAGTTTACATTTTTTAAACATTGGGTGTTAAGAAGGGATTGCTTTTAACTTTTATGTTTTGTATTTATAAAGCTAATGGGCTTATTTATTTATTTATATTAGTGATGGTGACTTTTTATTAATGTGACACTAGAGTTAAAAAAAAAGATGAGCATGATCAGATAATGGATACCCACTGATGTAGATAACACACAATTTATCTTCTTGTGAGATGATTATTGTCATTTCGTGTGTGTTTTTGAAGTTATTAAAAATGTTCTTTCTCTCTCTGTCAGATTGTAAATTAAATATAAAGTTTCAGCTGACCAATTCAAGACCCACGATATCCTGTGCAGTATTTACAAAGGGAACCACTCTATATGTAAAAAGTCAATTTCTGAAATCATTTATGTTTGTATCAGGCAAATTAACGTATATATTATTGAACTGAATTTATTCATTCACTATGTGAATTCCATTTCACCCCCTGTAGAAGCAATAACATGTTGACAATCGATGCCCAGGCGTTTCATTAGTGCTGGACGTTATGACATCTTTGACCAGTGTGGTGACAGTGGATCATATTTTACGTGACTGTTTTTCCTTTGAGGAACTTTTTTCCAATTGCTGTCATATCAATGCTGCTTGTTGTTTTGGTACTTAAGTTTCAAATTAAAAGCCTATTCTGCCATCAGACACCTGGTTTGGTCAGGTTCTCGTGTCACTGTTAGACAGGATGTCTCTTTTCATCTGTTGCTGTGAATATTAAAATGCCAGGGGTATGAATGGTGACAGGACTGATGAATGAAGAATTGAACTCTAACAAGTTAGACTTTTTTTTTTAAGTCCGCTACTGGGTACCAAACTGTTGTCAAAAGTCTACAGTTAAGGAAAATCATGGATACCCATTTTTCTTGTTAAACATCTCAAGGATGAACGAAGAGACATTTTGTCGATGTGCTCTCATGTTTAATAAGCTTTTTCAGAGGAGTGACAACTATTTAATTCATAAATCAAAGGCCTCACCATGATGTACAACTTGTGAATTTAACAACATTTTATTGTTTGAAATATCTGACATAGAGATTTTTTTATGATGGCATTTTGTTTCTCTCCAACAGTTTTTGTATATACAATAAGATAATAAATAAAAACACGATGTATAGTTTTATAACTACCCATCCTTGCATAAAGAAGTTACAATTATCTCCACCTTGACTCGCTACCTCCTAAAAGAGAAAGCTGCTTACATGTTATTCTATTAATCAAAATATATAATACATATAAAGGAGGATCTTTTTCCAACACAATGAGAAGCTTTACTTTCTATACTTTGATCATTTCTGGCTGGTAAATGTATTCAAGTATTTGAGTTTTCAATGCAGGACTTGAACTTGTAAAGCATTATTTTTACACTGTGGTTTTGCTTTATTAAGTTAACCAATCCAAATACTTCTTACATCAGTCACTAATGTTGCATTTCTAATAAACCTGGTATTCACATTCAACACTTTCTTTTGCACATTACTCATCTTCATTTTTGTTAAGAATGTTACATTTTGCCTTTGCTAAAGGAATTAAGAAAGGAAGCATTGAATCACCTTTTCTTAGCATTTAGAGAAAATTCAACCAGCTTTCATAATGTCTGCTTTCAAAATACTTCAGGGTCACTTTATTCAGTAAGGAACTTTTTCCATTGCAGCTAGCTGAGGAGTAGAATCACTGGAGGTCTGCAAGGACAACATGTGTGTTTGTTAGGTATAAAGTTCATCTTTAACTTCCTGTCTAACAGGAACTTTTGACTCAGTTCATCCTCCACAACACCAACACTGCATACATTATCATTATTAAACAAGCATCTGAAGCAGTACAAACAATGTGTTGTGGTAAACAGCAACACTGTGGATAACTATAAAGAAAGCTGTTTTAAAATATGACATTGTATGGGACCTGTTAAGAGTTAAAGTGAACTGCTTACTAGGGTAGAGGAGTTATTTAGTTGTAGTCAGCAATTGTCCAGAGCTCGACAGATGATGGACATGCCCAGCTGACAGCCAACAAGCCCTGAGTGATGCCCACTGAAAGGAAATGCAGCCAGTGAGTCAAGAAGCTAATGGACCAAATAAAACTGAGTACTTCAGAAAGAGCTGGAAGGAGAGAGAGGCCTGAAGAGGTGGGGTCAGCGGGTGAGCACTTCAAGAGAGGTTTTTATATTATTTTTCAGCTTGTTGAACTCCCTTCCAGCAACGAATGGGGTTTCTCACAGTTGAGAGAGAGCCTAGAGAACAGCATCAGAACAGAGCTATAATTTAAATTATTATATGTCAGTTTAAGGAGCACATACTGGAGGTGAAAAGCTCAAGCTGTGTGAAAATCAAATTGATCTCGGCATGACTTCCTGTTAAAAAGGTGCTTAAACAACTACTCATGTTCGAAAGCAGGTACTGCTGCTGGGGAGCTGCTGATGTGCTCTCTGTGACAGAAAGGGAAAAAAAGGGATTTATGGAGCGTTGACTCATTGTTATTATGAAGTTGTATTTCCTAACAGAATTTGTTCCCTTTTCTTACACATTAATAATTTTATAAATATAATCCTAAAAGTGAAAAAGACAAGTTTCTTCTATTCCTATTCTGATTTCAGTGTAATGCATGGGATAATTAACTTATACAATGTTTGTTTAACTTAATCAAATTAATATTCACACAGGCCTATGTACAAAAGCTAACAATATTCAACTGCCATGTTGACTGGTGCAACAAGGCAAGGCAGTTGTATTTGTATTGTACTTTTCATTAAATAAGTTCACCGCTTTCACAGTCAAATGCATAAAGCAACAAGTAACATGTAGAACATTTGATAAATAAATGTCTACCAAAATAGCATATAATTAAGCTGCAGCACAACAACCAACCTTAGCAACAAGAGGCCACGTTTCTTTTCAGACCACGACCGAGGAGACTCAGTATTGGTGGGCATAGATGCGACACATTGAATAAAAAAACGAGGACAATCTATCAATTCGCAGTACCACTGTCTCCAGGCTGATTATTAAAATGTTGTAAAATATTGCAGGGGCAAGAAGAACTGCAGGACTTTGCCTCACTAATGCAGGCCTTGGGCATAATCCGTTCTGCTGCAGTCAGCCTGTCAGCTACATCTTTTAGCCAAAGCTGTTTCTCACAGAGGCTGCCTGTGGGAAGAGGCCATACCTCCAAATGCTCTGACAGAGTTGCCCCTTTGGTTTTTTCTCAAGAGGCTGCACCTGTATGCTGACCACACTGCTGCTGGATAACCTGTCACTTTCACTTCAGCCTGAAGCAGGATGTTTAAAGCCAGGGTGGTATACATTTAAGGGAATATAATACATTCTACAGCACATGACTACCTCTGTTAAAGTTTATATTTTGCAGATTAATTACTTCCATCAAGAATCTTTGCTCCGTTTATTAAAGCTTTTATTTAAACGTGTACCATTTGACTGCACTCTGCTGTGGATGAGTCCATAGCAGAGCTCAGCTGCAGATCTTTATTGCAGTCACGTCCGGCTACAGGAACTGTGAGGATCCATCACACCAGAGCTGGATCTTTAGCCACTCTTAATGCATAATCAGTATTCATCCCAGACAGGCTGATCATTTTCACTTCTTTCGTGTCTACTGCTCTCCAATACAGATCAAAATGTACCTTGACACACATAACTCCACACAAATACGCTCTTTAAAAGTAAGCCTAGAACATTTTATGGACAAAATATATTCTAAATCCTTATAGAGGTCAGTAAGACCATGTGAAGACACTTTGGTCGTTTCCAGATTGGTTTAAAGCTAAGACAGACATTTCAATGACATTTCTTCTTTTTTTATCTAAAGTGGTGTTTTATTGTGATTCACAGTGTAGTCATCATTTTTGAAGAATGAGCAAGGCATGGCAAGTTTATTTATAGAGCACCTTTCAACACAAGGTAATTCAATTAGCACAAGGAAATTCGAGCAATAGACTTAATGCACAAAAATGCTTGTAAAATATTAATATTTAAATCAGTTATTGGATCTATCATGACATTGACCAAGTGGAAGTTTTTTTGTTATTGTTTCACTGATTTAAGTTTGAATTGTTTACCCACTATGAAGCCAAAATTGTATCCAATATCATGTCATATGACGAACTGGGTCAACATTTAGTCCTGTTGCCTGCAAGGCCTACAGACTGCATATTATAGCAATAATGGCGGTTCAAAGTCAAATGGCTTCACAGTGCCCACATTATGAAACCCCTAATTAAAACGGAGTTCATTAATCATTGGGGCTTACTCGTGGAAAATAAAACTCATGCATAGAGTTATTGGAAATGACTAAACTCGCACAAACGGAAAAGGGAAATATGTTAAGTTAAACGCTGCTATTCTTCCTGTTGGCCACCAGGGAGCAGCCACGATGACTGCACGTGAGCGAATGGGTGAAGAAATGCAACCAACAGTAAGTTTTATTTTTGTATGGGTGTTAATCGATGTTCGCCTCTAAAATAAAATCACAGCTAATTATATCCAGACACTTACAAAGGCCAAACCATTAAAGTAATGTAACTAGATTAAGTAACAACACGAGCCTGCATGCACAGTGGTTCTATGGTGTAATGGTTAGCACTCTGGACTCTGAATCCAGCGATCCGAGTTCAAATCTCGGTAGGACCTGTGTTTTCATAAATGACGTTCACATGTTAGGGGACAGCTTCATAAGAATGATCAAAAAATATGCAACCGTTATGTTGATGGACTGAAATCTAAGACAAGGGCTTTTCAAACTTTTTAATCAAATGATTATTTCTGAAAGTTCAAATATCTTGTTAATCAAAGGCAACTTTTCAAAGAAATAAAGCACATGGCAGAGTTTGTACAAATAGCAACGTCTAATTTAAAGATTATTCAAGTAGGTTTGCAATGCATAGACATGTTTGACAAACACAATATTAAATGGAAACATTTAAGTAAATCCTTGATTATATGACTGTTTTGCAAATGTAATGAAAGAGGCCTATAGAACACTGAGAGGAACTTAACCAACATCTTTTTTTTACAAGGCAACGGTTAAACTTGAATGCAGGTGTCAAGCTTTTAATATGGATGAGTCTACAAGATTAATTATTCATGAAATGGGGACCCCTTAGTGAACCAGTCTGGCATAACGGTTTCTTACACGACCTTTGGGTATAGAATAACAACAACAACAATGCAGGAGGCTTGTCATACTGGTGTGGCTTGCATGACATATTATCTGCATTGTGTCAAGGTTTTTGTATTTTCTGCTAATTACATCAGGCTGCAATACGGTCATTTATTTTGTAATTTTCATCAGGGATATTGACTGTCTATAAATCATAATGTCTTTAATCATAAATAGTGACATGCTGGCTTACACCTTAAAGATGACTGATTGTATTTCTGCACGACAGACAGTAAAGCTGTCACAGTATTGGTCTTCTTTTAAATCTCATAATAACCCCTTACACATAGTTCTTTATTTCTCCATGTAGCCCCCTTTCTGAGTATCCTGAGATAAAACAGAAGGTGCTGTACCAGTAAAAATTCTCTGTTCAGATGACTCTGTTAAGCTTAAAAATACTCACTTCTCTTTGCTATTTTTAGTCTCAATAGGCTGTTCCCATGTATGCTCAGTTTCCCACAGCAGAAGTGTATTGACAAGCCTTCTTCAGGGGGGCCATTTTTTTTTTTATTCTCCTTGTTATTTGACGGAGTGGAACGCCCACAGGTGCTGACTGTGTTTTGATTTATTGCTCTTGCAAAACAAGTCAAGTGATGTGACATATTCATGTTTCTGCCCGATGAAATGACTTCAGGCTCGTGTTTTATACAGTAACCATTGTACTTTGCAGTTACTATAAAGTCAGGGATCTTGACTGACAATAATATGAAATTTAATTATGACCACTTGTTATGCCTAGAACAATAGTCAGTTGCCCAAATTAAAACTCAATATGTAATAGACATTCCCATATTAGACATTCCATCGAGTTCCCTCACTTACACTGAACAAAAATATAAACGCAACACTTTTGTTTTTGCTCCCATTTTTCATGAGATGAACTCAAAGATCTAAAACATTTTCTATAAATACACAAAATAACCATTTCTCTCAAATATTGTTCTGGGGTCTGGGGGGGTCCGAAAACCAGTCAGGTTTAACCCTAGCCCTAACATGTCACCCACTGGCACATTAAAAAATGTTTTAGGGTTAGGGTTAGGGTTAGGGTTAAACCTGACTGGTTTTCGGACCCCCCCCAGACCCCCCCAATAAAGCAAAACTGCACGTTTCCGAGTGGCCTTTTATTGTAGCCAGCTTAAGGCACACCTGTGCAATAATCATGCTGTCTAATCAGCATCTTGATATGCCACACCTGTGAGGTGGGATGGATTATCTCGGCAAAGGAGAAGTGCTCACTATCACAGATTTTTTCAGATTTGTGAACAATATTTGGGAGAAATTGTTATTTTGTGTATATAGAAAATGTTTTAGATCTTTGAGTTCATCTCATAAAAAATGGGAGCAAAAACAAAAGTGTTGCGTTTATATTTTTGTTCAGTGTAATTGCTTCTTAGAGAGGGGGGACACAATCCACACTTTCAAAATATATCTGAAGTTTATATGAGGCTTTTACAGTTGAAGTAAGATGTATTGTTTTTAATATTAAATTCCCTTTTTTGGTTTCCATCCCTTCAAGTGATAACACAACCTAATGAGGGAAAATACTTTAACCAAGAGGACACCCTCCTCTTTTTTCTAACTCAGAAGCCTCACATTTCCTCCAGATTAACTTTTAAATGTATTTCAGCACAGAAAGAGGATTTTGTCCCCCTAACCCCTATTGGAAGTCCCTTTGGAAGGATTATTGTAATGTGAATATTATTTTAAAACAGCAATGGAAGTGGATGGTTTGATCCACTGAAGTGGCTCTGTTTGGTCTACAGTAATTGTATTAGTAGGCTACATAATACATTCTGGTATAAACTGCAGGTATAATTAGTTTGAACTCACTTCATTTCAGAGATTCAGCACCTTGCCTCTTTTCCTGTGAACACATATATCTGAATGCAAGGCAACATCCCTGTGTGATGAGAAAGCCTGGGAGGCAGATGATAATTTGTTTCCCCTTTCTGCACGGATAACCTTGACTGTAGTCAGATTTCAATCTGTGTATGATTACATCTCAGACAGATAAATGAAAACCACTGACACTGTCTGTTGCTGCTGAAGAGCTATAGGCAATCAGCTTGAAGTATTCAGGTTTTTCATTAAAAAAAACATTCATATTTTTCCTTTTTCTTATTCAACAAAATCTTCTCAACTGAAAAGAGGCAAACAGTGCACAGTGTGATGGTAACATTAGATTTATTTAACTCTGCCTCTCTTATATCCTATTTTTTCATCCAAGCAATCTTTTAGTTTCAAATGTATGTGACTGTCATGGACAAAAACAAACCTACAATGTCAAAACCCTGTTGGTTTCATTATCATAAAGATAATTACAACATCAAATATTACACAGCAAGACCTGCAATCTTCCGGGACACAAATATGGACATTCGTACATTTCAACAGAACTGTATGTCTTGGCATCACCACAGAAGGGCAGCAGAGGGCAATCCAATAGGCCATGTTGTCTCTAGCCATATCAGGCACTCTCACTCCTCTGCATCAGTTCAGCCCGTCCAAAAATGAGACATTGTGTCATGCTGACTGCAGTTACTATCAGAAAAAGTTTAAGCATTTCTTCAAAGTTAACAAATAAAATTGTTTATGTGTTTTTTTTATTCTCTGCACTTCTCACATGTTTAATAGATAGATAGAGATTAACCTGTTCACCTACATTTCCGTAATGTTAAGGTAATTTTGATTCAGTGAAATGCCAGAAAACAGATAAAAAGCCAGGTAGATAACTCGGTAATCTTTTATACAAACAACCCCAAAATGTGCGAATTCCAGTTTCTCAGGTGTCGGGATCTGATGTTTTATTTTTTGGGTGGAATTAAATTAAATATCTTTACATCAGCTGAAAAATTAAATAAATGACATGCAAAACATTTACATTTAATCGACAGTTAATCAAATAAATATATTTTATCCTTCCTTTGCTTATTTATTTTTTTAATAACATGCTATTCCTTGTGTTTGGGCAACAATATCTAGAGGATGAGTTATATATTAATACAATAATCATATCAATAATAAAAACAATAATGTTAAATAAACAACAGAAATAATCACAGTCTTAAAAATTATAGTCTTTGGTAACCATAATGATAATAATTAGGCTTTTAAGAGAACACAAATGTGTTTTCCTATTCCTCTTATATGCATTCGAGCTTCTCATTATAAACTATTTTACATAAAACATTTCCTCACATCTCAGACGTTTGTTTTACTTTTGTCACAGCTGTCAGCCTTGTCATCAGTGACGTCAGTGGAGGTTGTAATCAGTCACGTGACCCGCGCAGGTCTGGATAAAGCGCAGCTCGGGACTACACAGGCTGTTCGCATTCATCCAGTCCTCTGGACATTTAATTTTTTGTAACGATAAAACATTAAGACAGTGAAACAAATAGTCAAAGCAACCACTGAGGATTAATATTTCCTACAACAGAAACCTGGGGTTTGTTTCTACGCAGGCTCATATTCGACTGATCATCTTTTAACCGCGATGTGAGTAGATTCTTCTTTTACTAAGAATAAAAACAAACGACGCCCGCACGCTTATGAAGGTCTTTTTCACGATTATTTCTTATATACTGTCATCTTGTTTGTGATTGTGTCTGTTAGCGGTTCAAACGAGGTCTTTGATTGATTATTTTCGTGTTGGAAGATTGACAACTGACCGACACAGTTAACATATTACATTATTGTGTCGTCTAGCAATAATATTGTAATGCTTTATAATGAGCATTGCAGGCTTAATGTTATTTATTATATGTACTGTGCGTCAATTAATCCATGTTGATGATGTTCCATAAGATGGCTTCTTGTGATGTGGACAGAGGAGAAACCCCCTCAGTAGTATTGTGGCCGCTCCAGTCAGTTGTGTTTTTTTAAAGGCACATTTGCTGGATTTGTGGTAGACCAGATATAAGCATCGCATAAAATGCAAGGTTGCAAGCTTTTAATGCAGGGTTCTTTTGCATGTTTTCTAGCACCACATTGTGATATTTTCTCCTCCATCGTTCTGCTCTATTTATCCTGGGCGTGTGTGGTTTCCTCTTTGAGCAGCCAGGGTCTCCCCTGTCAAACATAAGGAATGCAAATGGCTGATGAGGGGTTTTCTTTATGGCTAAGAGGGAACAGATGCGAGTGAAATGTGGTGGTGGTTCCCTCTCCAGATCAAATTGCCCATCCTCCATGCCCTCCTGCTGTTAGCACAACCCTTTAATCCCCGCAGAGCCTGAGTGTCCAGCAGCCTGCCTCTGTCTCTGGGGTCATCATTGCAACAACACTGTGATGCTCAGTGCAGAAGCCAAAGGCCTTGATTTCACATCACAACATTGCATGCAGTGTAAAGAGAGGCTAAATCTAAAAGATACATTTCAAAATCCTGCATGGCTATTTGGGGCAAAATGTAGAACAAATAAACCTTCATGTACGAAATATTCAAAGGTGTGGACGACAAAATTGAAACTTCTCCAATTGCTTATAGAATTTCATTTCATTCAAGAAAGCATTTTGACATATTGTATCACTCTTTAATCTTTGAATAAATAACATCCATTGTCAAATAACAGTTTTGTCCAAACTGACAGTTCTTTACAAACTGGTTTTGCGAACCAAAATAAACGTAATATTTCTGATTTTAGTCGAGTGCCTAATGTTTCCCTAGATACTACGGTTTTATTTCTATCCATCAATGGTACAACCAAGAGGTAGCAATATTTTTAAATGAAGCCCTTGGAGTACATAAAGAAATGTAATGTGTTCAGAAAATCAAAATGCTTGGCTCCTTCAGGGTGAAATTAAGTGTTGGGAACATTATGGCTCAAGTGGTACAAAATATCATCAATCTGTCATAATCGCAAAACATCCTGATGGAGTTGACTCATAAAAACATTAGTGGAATGGAGAAGTTGGCCTGGTAGCTACCAAGAAGAGGAAATCCGCCGTGTCCTTATTTGTGCTTCTTTCAAAACAAACAAAAAACGGTTTTGAATGAAAAGATTGCAGTTTGTGGGGAGGCCTTGAGTGACTCACTTCCAGTCATGGCCTAACATAGGATTTTCTACAATAATTGAACAGGAAGAGAATTGAAAATTATGTAGAAATATTGAGTGTTTGAGTCAGGTTTATTAATAGGCTTTTTTTCATTGAAGCAGATCTCAAAGGATTAAAGAAGACACATTTGTTTTAATCTAGCCTGAGGGACTGAACAGTCGAAGGGATATAATACCGTGTACAAACAACACAATGACAGTTATAGGCTAACTTTCTATTGGAGTGAAGCCTGCAGAGCAATATGAAGCTCAGATACTAATGTACAACAGTTAACTCGTTATAAATACATACAGAAACTATTATTATAGTTGTTCAATTTTAGGTGTATCTTTTGAACAGAATCTATCTGTGGTAGTGACCCGGTCTGTTAGACAACTTGCATGTTCCCGGCTCGTTTCAGCACTAGAGGGGAAACATTTTCACAATTTCTGTTCAGTTTTGATGTTGTTGCTATGGTAAGGATTAGATATCATTTTGGGCATGCGAGTCCTGAGGGGGAGGAATAGATGCAGAGGATGTACTGTAGTCGTAGTTGGAGCTAGAGATTACATCTATATTTAATCCTGAACCTTCCAAGTATTAAACGACACTTCCAGCATGCCATCGCTTTTATATTTAGCAGCATATTTGATACCTACTGAGAGGAGGTATTATACAGACTGGCATAAGTAATGTGTCACTTAAAAGAAGGAGGGAGCTACGGAAAAGAGAAATGTTTTCTTTGGTTGTTGGCAGTGAAAATATGCCAGTTGATTTGATCAAAACCGTTGTGTTTAACAGCATTTTCATCATGACTGAAAGCTTTTACAGTGACGATAGAAAGTTTGTGAATCTTTGAGCGACCTGAATAATACAAATTCTCAAAATGATACTTGCCAACTACATACATTAATCTATTTGGAATACTGATCCACATATATGAAGTCCGTGACGTGGTATATTTTCTTCACATCATCTGCTGTCAAAACGCTTCAATAGTAATTCGATATAATAGGAGTTGACAGCATTCATCTTCTTTTATTGCCACACCAAAATGGAACATTTAAAAAAAGGTGTCTTTAATATTACTCTTCTCAGTAAAATTGCTTTTGTGCCACTTGTTTGTAAGTGCTAGAAAAAAGTTTAACTCATGGAGCAACATGAAAAAGTGATAAAAGAATACCTTCTTAAAAGGAGCATCAATGGTAGACACAACAACACATCCCGAGTGTAAACATTCACAGAACTTTCAGTTTTTCAGAAACTGATGGTACAGCTCATAAAAACTGAATTATAATTATAACAATAAAAGTGAATATGATTAAAACTAGTTGTTTTATCTATAAGTGCAACTATATATTTATAGAAATATAGCATTTTCTGCAGTTCTGCTTGCTGAGTCATCAGTTATATCCCCATGGCTCAACACTGCAGAGCACAAAGTAACTCATCTGAACAGCTGTCAGCCAGTTAATCAGGGAAAACACTCGTAAACACATGTAGGCCAAAACCCTGCAACTTAATGGGCAGCCTCATGATGATAATTCATGATTATGAAAGACAACTCTCTGATGTACTGAGCAAATGAGCAGGCTTATGAAACATGAAAATATTTCTCCAAATGTAGTTAGTAACTGGTTTCTGAATAGTGTTATGGTTCCTGGTAGGCTCAGATATGTGCATGCTACTATAGATTATCTTCCTTTCTTTCCATGTTTTCATGTTAGCATTGAGTTTTACGCCGTAAGCCTGTAAGCAGTGCTTAGCTTCCTACTCAATCACTCGTCCAGTCAGGGAACAGCACACACATCCATTAGCTTTAAAGCCCAAGTCCTAAGTGGTTGAGATATGGTCACAGCTTCTCGTGTGCCAGGATTCCTCGCAGTGACACATCCAGCGCACAGGAGGGGAATAACTTTATGCTAACTCCTTCACATCCCAGTGGGGCAATAATAGGCAGCTGTTTATCAGTGTGCTGGTGAGTGTGGAGGCCCTGCTGAGGGAGATAAAGCAGGCTCTTCAGCAAAAGCACAATAAGCCAGCACAGAGCAGAGAGCGCTTCCAGGCTTTGTGATGAAGCTAGAATAACAAGCTGACTCACAGGCACTTCTTCTACTGCTTTCTTTTTCCCGACATTGTTGAGCGCAGAATATGTCGTCTGATTATTACCTTGCTGAGAGCTCAGAATAACCTTTCGTTGCACTTCGATGCACCCCCTCTTCATTTACCAATGTTCTGTTATTGTTCTGGTACTTTTCCCTTCTGCACAATTTTTTTTTCCTTTCTACAAAGGCATGTGTTTTATTTTACATAATCGGTCATGGCATATAGCGAGGTCAGTGGTCTTAAGCCCTCCCATATTTCTTTTTGAAATATGGTGTTTTTGCAGACAGGAATGCCCACTAAATGCTTCCAGATGCTCTCATTATATACTGATGTTTCTTTAATATAGTATGCACTTGTTAAAGCGTATGTCTATTTTACATGTTGCATGGAATCTCGGTCTGTGTGTTGATTCAGGGAGACAATTAATACAGTATGCTCAGAGAGGTACTTTCCTGATGGCGAACGCATATTTTCTCTTTTGTTTTTAAGAAAGACCACAGCTAGCAGTATCATTCAAATGCATAACGGAAGCCCCCTCCTCCCTGCCCTTCTCTTTTCAGCCCGCAGTGTGGGAATGGTAAATGATGGAGGATAAGGGGCCTCGTGTAGCCGACTACTTTGTGGTTGCCGGTTTCACCGACTCATCCAAGCCTCTGGAGGACGAGCTCCACTTTGATGATGCCTGTCCCAAGTCTGTGAAACCAAACGCCCCCATCACCGACGTAGCTGTGGTGATCCGCTCCCTGGGTGAAGAGGTGCCCCCGGGTTTCACCTGTGTTGAAAGCACCCCCTCAGGCCTCTCTGCAGAGCTCAATGCAGCCAGCCTCAGGGGCCCTCAGATATTCCTGTGCTTCAAACGAGGCAGAGATAAGCCCCCACTGACAGATCTTGGGTAAGTAGTAATCCTCAGTCACTGACCCTTTACTCAGCAAGCACCACTAATCGCTTCTTTGCCTTGGGTCACTTTAATCTGCTTTAAACACATCCTCTAGTTTGACATCTCTTCCATTAATACATGATCAGAGCACTCCACTGATATTTCTTTAAGATTTCTTGTTTCAAACTTACCCAACACGTCTTTCGGTTTCAGGATTCTGTATGAGTGGAAAGAGAAACTGAAACCTGGATGTCACATCGTCCAGACCACGCCCTCAGGTCGCCCCGCCAACATCAGCAGCTCCTCGTCACAGCGCATCTACATCACCTACCGCCGTGCAGCCAAGAGCCAGCCTCACACCTCACTGGCCGTCACTGATGTCTGCATCATCATCCCCGGCAAGGGGGAGACGCCCCCCCACACCTTCTGCAAGGTGGACAAGAACCTCAACAGCAGCATGGTTGGTTAACACACTGAAAACACAATCACATCTCCAGTGTGTCTTTATGAATAATGCAGGTTTTGATTGATCTGTAATGTCTTCTCTCCTATTCCAGTGGGGATCCTCAGTCTACCTTTGTTACAAGAAGTCTCTGGCTAAAGCGAACACAATCGCATACAAAGCAGGTAAAGATGTGTGCAGAATTTGTATTATGAGCTAAGTGCTTAAGAATTCTCAACGAGGGCATTTCATTCATGTATTCTGCCTGTAAATGAAAATACAATGGAGTTATGACAACTGTTTCATACAGTATTTTGTGTATTGGTGTCCAGGTCTGCTGTGTAGGTACCCTGAAGAGGACTATGAGTCCTTCCCACTGCCCGAGTCCGTGCCTATGTTCTGCCTGCCCATGGGGGCAATGGTTGAGTGTTGGCCAGCACACACCAAACACTCCCTGCCTGTTTTTTCCACATTTGTACTGACGGGTGCCTCTGGAGAAAAGGTAAAACAACCTCCTTACATTTGTGTTACCAATAATCATGTTCCTTTTTCATAATGACGTTTTTTTTTTTGCCTTTGCAAAACACTCAAAAACATTCATACTGATCCTCCACTCTGTTCAGAGACCTGCGATTTTTATTTACATCATCGTTCATTAATTAGATTTCTGCTTATCAAAACCTAAATTGTCCCTTAATTGCATCATTTCAGCCAGCCTCTCCAACTTCCTCCCTGTGCGTTATAATCCCTCATGGATTAGTTTGTTGATGAACTGCAGTACTTTTTCGTAGAAAACCAGACAATTGTAATGAACTTCAGGCCTTGACTGGAATCAAAAATGGTCTAAGGGTTGTGTTTGGAATACTAAAAGGCTGAAGTCTTTGAAAGCAATGCAGCATAAAATATTTTTTGCAGCTCATCTTTTGAATAATGGATAGCTCGTGCACCACTTGGGCTGTCACATAAGTTTTAAACGCTGACTGCCTCAGTGCTCACTGTTGTTCCCTGCAACCTCTAGTTTGCAGACGAGTCCCCTGGTACTTTACGCCTGGAATCTTTTTGTTTCATTATTTGGGAGGAACAACTTCAAAGGACGGATAAGAAGATTTAGCTGATTTATTATGATAAACTCTCTTGTGAAGCAGCCACAACAGCTTACCTTAATACGTTATTTCAATGGACCTGTGACTGCTGTGGCTTGTTACTTTGTGAAGTTTGCATCAGGATGCTTGCAAGCAAGTCTTTTTTATCTGTGTTCTTGTGCTTGTTCTGGATACTTGTTATTCAGATGATCAGATTACATTGTGATCTTTTTGCTTGCAGGTGTACGGAGCGGCCATCCAGTTCTATGAGCCTTTCTCAGAGGAGGATCTGTCTGAGCGTCAGCGCTCGCAGCTCGGCATGCCAAGCTCTGATCTGGGGTCTGATGGGAGCCGGAGTGTTTACAGCAACAAGAGCATCTGCCTGCTCTCCCACTGGCCTTTCTTCCAGTCCTTCAGGAGCTTTCTCACTTTCCTCTACAGATACTCCATCTCTGGCCCACATGCCCTGCCTATTGAAAAGTAAGATTTGTTTTCATTCTCTTTGTTGATGTCTGTCAGTCCCTCTGCTTCAAATGTCTTTGTCTTGCCCTTATTGCTTAGTTGAGTCCTTTTTATTTTACTTGCAGGCACATCTCTCACTTCATGCAAAATGTGCCATTCCCCTCGACTCAGAGACCACGCATCCTAGTGCAGGTGAGCTCAAAATGTGAAATTGTCCTCAAATCTGAATGCTTGCATCATTTTGTTTGATTAAAATGTATTTAATCCCGCTTTAGTTGTGAGCTTAATCCCTTCCCGCTCTAACACTCTCCTGTGTGTCTTCCACAGCTGTCTCCACATGACAGTCTGATGCTGAGCCAACCTGTGTCCTCTCCACTGCCTCTCAGGTAAAGAAACGTCACTAACATACCACATTATTACATCAACACATACTATATCTGATTAATTCTTAATTTAAAACCATTTATTTAATTTGTGTTTTTAGTGGTGGGAGTCTGTCCACATTACTGCTGAATCTGGGCCCGAAGAATGCAGCCACTCTGCTGGTGCTGGCCGTCACCGAGCATAAGATCCTGGTTCACTCCCTGCGCCCAGCTGTGCTCACAAGTGTTACAGAGGCCCTCGTGTCTGTAAGTCATTTCAAATCCAATCAAACTTTATTAATATTGCACTTTTCATACACAAAGCTAACTCAAAGTGCTTCACAAACCAACCACAATTTATACAAAATTACTATCTCCCACTTCCTAGGTATAAGAGTAACACATAGCTTTTTCATTTAAAAAGCACTTAATACAAATGCAGGACTGAAAAAATCAGGAACAAAATAATAATAGAAAACTCAAAAATGTAGTAAAAAGGAATAAAATAAGAATAATATATGAATAAAATACAATTCAGTTAAAAGCCAAATTAAAAAGCTGGGTCTTGAGTTTATCTTTGTTTTCACTTTGGGTCTGATGAAAAGGCCAGTACCAGAACACCCAGGGCTCATAGGTCAAATCCGATATGCCCAAGACCATTAAGAGCTTTAAAACCAATAAAAAATGTTGGTATTGATGCTGTAGCTCACAGGGAGCCATCGCAGAGACTCTCCATGTATTATTTAAAGAAATCGGAAAGATTGATGAGGATCTCACTAAATCTCTTGTGTCTCGTGTATGAATCGATCATATTGTAATTTTTGATAATCCTTTTCAGATGATCTTCCCCTTCCACTGGCCGTGCCCGTACATCCCTCTGTGCCCGCTGGCTCTGGCCGGTGTGCTAAGTTGTCCTTGCCCTTTCATTGTGGGTGTGGACTCTCGATACTTTGACCTTTATGTGCCCCCATCTGACATCAGCTGCGTGGATCTGGACACAAACACAATCTCCCAGTAAGTCCCCTCTAACTTCAACCTCTCTGTGATATATGTCCACCTTTAACTTTAAAACACCCAGCCAAAAATAATCTACCCATGGTTTAGGTTTTTATAGGTCTGATGTTGAAAGTTCTTCCCAAGGTTATCTGTAACTGTCAGTGAGAGCATCTTATGTAATGATATGAGCTGGAATGTGAAATGTTATACACAAAAGCACATTTGGATTAACGCTGGTCTCCCACATCAATTTAAAAAGCTGTTTGCAAAAGATTAAATTGTCAGTGCTGATGTCAGTTAATCCGTCTCCCTCCTTATATCTTTTTCAATGTTTCTTGACTGTCCTCCCCTTTTAATGAAAACCATATGCTGTGCTTTCAGAAAAGAAGACAAGAAGGCTTTAACGTGGAAAATCTTGCCAAGGAGAGCCTGTAAACACCTTCTGAATACACTGAATAAGATCTATCAGCAGCTCGCTGAGGGTGAGTCCAGTCTGATGCTGATGTGGCCTTTTATATTTGGATTGATGAATAATTTATCTCGAGCCTGTTGATCCAGCCTTTACAGACCATTTTACAGGAAACTCATTGGATGCTTACACTGCTATATGAAACCACAATAGTGCATCCCAGGAGATACGAAGTGTAATTTAGTCTTCATCTGCTCCTGCTCCACCTGCCTGCTCGAGATGTACTTAGATTAGTCATTTACTGCAATTCCCAGAAATGCTTTCACCCCTATACTCAAATTTCAGCATATCAAGTGGCTAAATGTATTGGGGTCTATAAAAACAGAAATGTCAGCCTCTTCCCTACAATGCATTTTCTCCTTTGTGATGGTTAAACATTGTTAAAATGAATTACCAGCCTAGGAAGAAGCTCTTTGATTGCAGCCGATTAACATTTATCTCTGATGTTTCCTGCTTTCACGCCGTTGTTTAGTTGAACTGAACAAATTATGAAAATTGTCATACATCACGATAAGTATAAAAAAAAATGAATTGCTTGCTAAAAGCTGTGTTGCTCTCTGGCATTGTTGTTCCACCATTTTGGTTCAGAGTGAATATTGTTTACAGACTCTTGGTCCCCAGAGGATGAATACTGACTTTTTAATAGATTGCCATAACATTTGGTACAGTCATTCAATACAAACTGTAATCTTTCGTGATCTCTAACTTATCTTCCAGTTCCATCATCTAAAATTGTATTTGTTTTTGCAAATACCTGCAAAGTGAATTGCATTGTCTCTGGCTGCAGTAGGGTGCTTCTTAAGAGTATTATAGCTTCCTTTAGCACCACCAAATATTCATTGTCTTCATTTATCACGTGAAATACATATCTTTTCGAGAATGATTGGCACAAAATAATGAGTACAGCTTTTAGAATTAATTCCGATTTTTCTCTCGAGTCATCATGTTACAAGAAGTCTTTCAGTTTCTTGACAACCGTTTATCCGATCAACTTCACACTTCAGTGGGTGCATTTGAGACGACCCAAGGAAGTGCAGTGTCGAGTGTGAAAGTGTCTCGAGCGGTTTCTAGAGAAAGAAGCTATCGGCCAAATGGGCACAGCACTCCTTATATTATATTTATTTATTTGTTTGTCCAGTTCTTGGTCTTTAGGTAAATACCTGCGAAACTAATGACTTTACCCCTGCTCAGCTATACTTCTTTAGTAATATTGTCCTGCTTACACATTCAAATACAACACTGAACATGGTAAACAATAAACATGCTAAACATCATCAAGTTAGCATTGTAACAAAAGACCTTGGCTTAGTTTATGCTGGTTATTTTTTGCAGTCAAGCTGTCAGAAAGTATGTCAGCATTACTTTTCACTATGCCAAATGCATTTTAGAAGGTCAAATAAATAACTGTCATTTTGGCAAACTTATGTATAATCAGAGTTGTGTGCTCGTTTAAAAAAATAACACCTAACCTTTTTGATAACAACAATAACTGCATAATATTTTGTGCTTCATTTCGATGGTTTTAAATGAGCATATCTTTTGTTGTTCATGTGCTCATGCGTTCTGTGTTGTCGTGTGCCCTCAGGTGGTCAGCTGAACCGGGAGGATGTGCATATGGAGCACACAGTGACTGACAGTGAGCTCAACGGGGGGAAGAGCCTCCACACTCTGGAGCTGGAGATCCAGGAGGCCTTCCTGCGTTTCATGGCGGCCATCCTGCGAGGCTACCGCTCCTGCCTGCTGCCCATCACACAAGCCCCCTCTGAAAAGACCACCGATGCCAGTTCCCTCTTCGACATACAAGGTACACTTCAGTTTTAACTGCAATACCTTAACTTATTCAATCACAAAAACACGCTGATAAGCTATTTTGTCATGCCTATACGTGATTCAGGGCTGAAGCAGGACAGGGGGTTAAGGTCTGAGTGCTCCTTCATCTAAGTTTGGCCTAAATCACAGCTGAAATGACTCTAGTGATTTAGCCGAAGCCTCAGTGGAAATTAGGCTTGGATGACAAACCGGAGAAGCGGCCATGATTAACAGCACAATGTCCCCTCACATCTGTGTGCTCTTATGCAAGCGGAGCAGCCGAGAACAAATTGTTCCATATCACAGTATTCATTTCCTGTAAATGTTGGTTAAGCCTGCATGTTGACCCCGCTAACGTTCCAAACCGGCTTGATGACTAAATGTACAATAATTTATAATCTTATATCAATGCCCACATGTCATGTTTATCATTACAGCATAATGTCTTTTGTGCCACAGGTTTTCTCAAGAGCAGAGACCGCTCCCACCAAAGGTTTTACTCCCTCATGACAAAGACTCAAATGTTCAGCCGTTTCATAGAGGAGTGCTCTTTCGTCAGTGATAAAGACGCCAGCCTGGCCTTCTTTGATGAATGTGTTGATAAGGTGAGGAGCAAATCTTTACTATGGATTTTTTGTGTCAGAGACAATTCATCAAAACAAGTAGGAACAAATTCCTCAATAACTATATATCGCCTGGTCCCATAGGAGACACAGCTGAGGCATTTAGAGGCAAGATTAATCACTTGCTGTCCTCTCAATTAGGATGTCTTAATTAAGGTCTTGGTTTAATGTGAAGGCCTTAATAAGTAAATAACAGGAACTAATCGAAATAAACAAATATATTTAAATTGTAAAAAGCATCTCCCTTGAGCCTGGTCTGAACATCAATGCTGAGCTTTCCTAATCTATAGTATCCTCAGCTACTTCAAGTTATTTTGTGTTTTCTTTTCTGCAATTTCGACTACTGCCCTCCTCTTCTTCTTTTCTGATGTTCTGCCTTTTGTCTTTTCTGCTGCTCTGTTTGTCACCATGGCCTATGGTAGCTATACACCACTGGAGGCAAGGTAAGAGCTTGTGTTGAAGCTTTTATGTTTGTGGAATTCATTCTTTTTGAAAACAGTTTTCCCTTTTTAGCTGTAAGTGTTTTCCTTTGTTCTTGGCGCGTGACTCAGCCCAGAGTATTTTGTCTTTCTGTACTGAATAAACCAAAGTGAGGGGAAGGGAGTGGAGCTAAAAGTGCAGGAGACATCTTGGATGTGAGGATGTGCATTAGCTGTCAGTGTGTGTCAGCTATCTGCAGTATTGAACCAGGTGCCTTAATGAAGCACAGAGAGGTCATGCCGAACTGTTCGAGACTCTGAGCTGACACAGTGGAATTAATCATGTGTGCTCGCCTTTCACTGAGATGACTATGCACTTAGAGTCTCTCTAAATTATAACACAGAAGAATGACGGAGAAAGACGGAGGCGATTATCCTTAGCTGTCAAAATGCTTTTTTTTGTAGAAATCCCAGAGGATGTTGTCCTGCTAATTGTTAGTGAGAGGGTTATTCATTTGAGGATTTGACAGCTTTGAACACAACCTGCCCACACATGTGTTGTAACACAAAAAGACAAAACATTGCACTAGCCTCCAAAAAACATCTCTGTTCTTACAAACTTGTGCAATCAGGAAGTCACGATTACATCCTGCACACAGAAGGAGCTCCTGTTAAAGTGGTCATTGCGGTTGTTATTGAGAAGTGGAAGCATTGATTCATTCAGCGTCAATGCTGCTGAGGTTGACAAAGAGTGTGTGATTGAGAAAGACCTCTTGGGTGTAAGAGGAAGGGCACAGCAGAATCGAAGCGAGGGTCAAAGAGAGTTAGCTGACAGAATCATCCACTTGACTGAGTGGAACAAATCCTGTAACGCAGTAGCACTGGGTATTCAGCAGCTGACAAAATATTAATGTTTTTGTGACACTCGTGTCCAAGATAAGCTGGTAATAGATTCCGATGAGCCAAGTGCGTGCACATCAGCATAGCAGGCTTTTTATGATCTCCCATAAAGCTTTCTGTCATGATTTTCTCCTAAAAGAGAATGTGGCTACACTTTGTAATGCAACACAAAGGAGTGCTACTGTTGTCTTTTTGCTAAGTCAGACAGGAAGGCAAAGGTTTCTACATGTTTCTCCATATAGTAGATCTCTCAATTCTGAGCTGAAGAAAATGTGGCAGTTTAATATGAAGCACTGCTGTCAAAGTGGTACAATTTAATTGTTTCATCTCCCTAGAGAAACATGGCAATCATTTTGTCCAGGTCACTGCAGCCTGGGTTCATTCAGTCTTTTGGGAAACATATTATCAACCCCCAGACTTGGCAGTGCCCTTTTAGATAAATGGAAATGGGGCATGAGCCATATTTCTGATGTAGACAGACTCATTACTGACATCTGTTTGTCCTCAGTGAGCCTCACAGCTGATCTGATCAGAGGGCCCAGACAGTGTCAGATGCCCAAAAGCCCCCAGGCTGCATTGTGTTTCATGGAAAGCTGAGAAGACAAAACAGAGGGGAAAATGACAAATATGTTTTTCTCTCGAAACCCAGATGGACAGTGAGCGACCAGAGGAAACCAGACTGATGGAGCTAGATGAATCCCACCACAGCGAGCACACGGTGTACGTCAACCCTCCGGAGCTGCCCCCACTACCACAGGGAGAGGAGCATCCTCTGTGCTACAGGTACCACAGATCAATCTCTTAAGACGGGCTGTTTCTTTTGTCTGACACGCACTTCTCATCGACCCTGGGTGCACACAATGCAGCTCCCGAAGCAGAGACATACCGTAAAATGTCTCAGTTGTTGCAGAATGTGTTACTGCTTAAGGGATTTGTGATTTATTTTGAGCCTCGCTTTAGGATAGATATGTCAGTGTTCAAGCTCACAGGGTGTCAGACAAACTATTGTGCTTATCACTCGGTTTTCCCCTGTTAATGTTGGATTGTTCTCTATTTCAGTTTATGTGCCAATGAGTGATTTTATGTCTTTCTGCAGCTACTCTGGATTCCCTGTGCTGAACGCTGAGCTACTGGAACCGCTGGACGGAACAAGTCCTCCTTCAGCCGGCATGAACTCACGTCACAGTAGCCCAGCTAGCCCCACGGCCATCTTCAGGCGCTCTAAGCAGGTCAGCCATTAGAGTAGTGAGAGATTTAAAATAGATTCAGTCTTAGAGGTGAAGAAGGTTTTATTGATCTATAAACACAATCTCTAAAGACTAAAATGTTCCCTGTTTTCCCTGTCTTTTATCAGCTTTTGATGTTTTAAAACACAACGTACCTTTTTATTATTCAATCTGATACTTATTTGAGAGTATTTCTTTCTTTTTTTTACGTTTGTTATTTTAAGATTTTAGCTCATTTTACTGCTGCATTCCTTCTCCACAATCATGGTGACAAGAATCGTTAATGCAAAATGCCAATGGGGTTGCTAGAGGATGATAAATGATCCCGACATGTGATGTTTTTTTCTTTCTCAGGAGATCAAATCAGCTCAAAGGATCGCCAAAACCTATTCTTCAATGCCTCAGATGTGGTCCAAGTGTCTGCTGCGCCACTGCTATGGCCTCTGGTTCATCTGCCTCCCAGGCTTTGTTGACACCTGTCACTCAAAGGCTCGGGCTCTGCGTACAGCTTACGATGTGCTGAGGAAAATGCAGGACAAGAAGTTGCAGGCTCCAGATGAGGTGAGAAACTGTTTAAGGCATCACACAACTATATACACATTAAGCATTGTATATGAAGTTTAATATCCTGGTGTCTTCTGTCCAAGGTGTGTTACCGTGTGCTGCTGCAGCTGTGTGGGCAGCACAGCCAGCCAGTCCTCGCTGTCAAGGTGTTGTTTGAGATGAAGAAAGCTGGAGTTCAACCCAACGCCATCACCTATGGGTACTACAACAAGGTGGGTGTATGTACTGTACATCCACATAAGGATGAAATACACCAACTGATCTGACTCTTAAGTCAGACAGATTCGTTTAAATAAAAAAAAAATGTCATTTTTCTAGGCGGTGTTGGAGAGCACGTGGCCCTCCACCACCAGAGGAGGATACTTTCTGTGGGGAAAGCTGAGGAACGTGGTCCTAGGTGTGCTCCAGTTCAAGCGAGTGGGGAAAAAACAACAGACACCGCACAGAGATCCTCAGCTTTCAGGTAGGAAAAATTATGACATGACACTGGGATGCATTAAATATATATATATATATATATATATATATATACCCACAGTACTGATATCTGATATGGGGTACCCCCTTTCTTACGATTTATTCAGATAATTAAATGTTCCATTTTTAAGCAATTCTTTAACAAACATCTGTTGAATTATGCTCCATGCAGTCATTACTTAAGTTATTAAAAACACACAGTTAGATATAAACTTTGATTTATTCATTTAAAATGTGCCAGTCATATATAAGTAAGATTAGAAATAATAACACTCTTTTGTAAACAAATTAATCAATCACATACTGTATGGTATTTTATCAACCATAGCATGTTTCAGGCCTATTGCCCAAATATGATAACAGACATAATATATCATAAACTCCCACACTGGCTGCCTTAAAACACTAAAACAAACCAGTAGTCATTGGTCTACCTAAGACTTATCAGGTTTGAACTTTGTTTAAGATTGCAAGTTCAGTAATAATTACTTTCCAACTATTACTGAAAGTATAGAATCTTTCTCACAAGATGTTTTTAATTATTAGAAATGAAAATGAGTATGATCCAGTGGGAGCAGTCGTTTCTTCTTTTCTGGTCTAATAAGAAGGTTTTTTCCACCTCCAGCACATACCATTCGCAGCCCCTGTTTTCTTTAATGACACTCATTAAACAGAGTGAAGAGGTTTTCCTCCCCAGCAGACACAGCACACAGGTCCATCTTTATTCTGGTCCCTAATTCCCAGTCCTACTCTCATTACCATAATGAATGTTGTTTAAGGGGCTCTGATGAAAACATCATGCATGCTTTAAGCACATACTGCAACCTTGTTGTTTTTGTTCTTGAGAGTTCATTTGGAATGAATTCTTTTAGTTATTTCAAAAATAATTATTTAGTGATTTTACAATTAGTGAACTGAAAATGTGCAATTTAATGTGATTTTTTCAACCTCCATTTGGCTCTCCTTTGTGTTAAAGATAAGAGATAAATGAAACCTTGATTCTATTTTTAATCTATGGCATCCTTTTTGTAGTTCAATCCCAATTACAGCGTGGAATTCAAAGCATCTGTGTATCTTTGCATTTGGGGATAATGATTGCAGCACCATTCAGTGATTGTTTACACACAGCTCTTTACCAGCTGGGCTCAGGTCTCATAATCCTGTTGGTACGTAATGTGTTTTAATCATCCTTTTCTGTTATCTCCTTGCAGACGGCAGTGATCTTGACACAGTCAGTCATGGCAGTTTGGACAGTACTAATGACTCTGCTGAGCGCACATCCATTGACACGGACTTCACTAAAATGGACTCCAGTGATGATGGATTTAGTACAGGTAGGAAACCAGAGTTTGCTTCCCTCGTTTTGAACTTTATCACTCTCATCTGTTAATTGTGTGACCCCTGCTACTCGTGTCTCAGCTTCACTCTGGAAAAATCTAATTTGATTGAATTCACCACCTTAGAAGTGATCAGAATTCATAAAATTTTCTACCTAAATGTCACTGTTCTAAATTTAAAATATTAAAGGCTAATCAAATGTCATAAGTGATTGTGGAGACATAAGCACATCCATAAAATCTTTCCAGGTGCTGAGGAACAATAATATGCACAACATTTCTTATTATCATATTTTATGTGGAGGAATGGAAAACCATTTGTAGACAAAACATTCTCATGTCAAACATTGTAAAAAAATAATAAATAAACATTGGGAACAAGCTAGCGTGATGCAAGGTTGTCCTGTCTTTATACAAAACATGTAAATCAGACTTTGACATAAAATGGATTGGTTCCTTTGGCAATACTTAGATTATTATTTTGTCCTTTGCCTCACATTCTGACTAATAGTTAAAGGCCAGTAAATACAACAGGGTTTATAGCTGTCTATCAGTATGATAACACGCTTGCAATAACAATACCATGGATGTGAATCTGGCTTACAACTAGTTTTGTATTTCTTAGCAGAAAACAACTGTATAAATCAGAAACTCTGTGAGGATAACACTCTTTGTACAGCTTTATGCAGTTCGACCTTGTGAATATGATGAAGTTTTTCAAAGAGTCCATTCCTCTCTTGCTGCTCCTGCTTTTCTATTCTGGGAGTGCTGTGTGATGTGAGCTGTACGGACTATGACTGCACTCTGTTGAAGAAAAACTCTCAGATCACTTGTCACATATAAAGAGACCCAAGAATAGCTTGTTTCTGATTCACACAGCTATTTCTAAAAGAGAAAACTTAGAAAGGAGAACAAATACAACAGGAGAGTAAAACCTCTTATCTTTTCCAGGTGGACAGTCAGACCAAGGCTACGATTCACTATCCAAAGAGGAAGAGAGGATGTGCACCAGAGATAGTGACAACACACCATCGGTGGAAGACAAAGGACCGAGGCAGTCCAGTGAGTTATGGATCAGATTCTATCTCTAATCGTTGACACTTAGCCTCCATGTCTGCAGTAGTGAATCACAGCTTACTGGCAGCAAAACGAATGCTCTCCCTCTAAAAGCTGCACTCTCTAAAAGCTGGGGGATCATATGGCAGTGTGGGTGTAGTGTATTCTCCACTCGTCCATTTGCTGTTATATTTAAATGTTCCTGAGACAGACTGTTGATGGATGAATGTGTTACGTAAGCAGGTGATTGTTTGCATGACAGGTATTGTGTTGAATGCTGTGCCGAATTACAACTTGCCATGTTTGATGTATTCTCTGTTCACGCTTTTGTGATCAATGGTCATCAAAAATCGCTGTGGGCGTTTCAGCAGAGTTACTTAATTTTTTGGGATGGAAATGGAATACAAGATATTTTAAGATTGACCACTGTCCTCTAAGGAACTAAGCAGCTGCCATCTACTCTTTTTCACTCAAATTCAGTAGCTTCATTAACACCTGCACTACAGAAACTGATGATTTCCTGTATTCAATATAGATTTTGAATTGATTCAAACATTCAGATACATTTTAGAGGTGTGGATGGTTTTGCTAAATGCACACAGATATGTTTTAATTTTCTATCGCCTTAATAATTTGATTTCATTTTAATTTCACTCTTCAGCACCTGAGATTGAGGCTGCAGGCAGCAGCATCTCTCCTTCTACAAGAAACTGCAAGCCAACAGATATCAGAGCAGGTAGGTTTTATAAGACTATCTTAGGATAGTGTTCAAAAGCCATAGATTGTAGTCTTACTGTATGGGAGCTGAATGTCTTGACACATGTTTTTATTACAGTCAATGGCTTCATGCGGGTTTCCAGTCCATCTAGTAACAGCAGTCTTTCTGGAGGTCTGCCAAAGAAAGAGAGGCCAAAATCTCTTGATTTGTCAGATGGACAAGGAAGTCTAAGGCTAACCGTGCCTCAACTAGGCTCAACAAAGCAGCATCACCTAGCTGCTGACAGACTGCACGGTGTAGAAGAAGAAGAGACAGAGACTGATAATCAGAAACCTGGTGAGGAGAGAAGTGTCAGCTGCAGCGGTGCAGCAGAGAGGCCAGGAGGGTCCATGGAGAGGAGTGTCAGCTGCAGTGCTGGGACAGCGAGCAGAACAGGAATCCAGAAGGGCTTTGATCCCCTGTCACTGATGTCTTCCGATGCCGCAGAATGCAATCAGGAGAATGGAGACACGCCCACGGCCCGACGCGACCTCGCCGAGGAGATTGAGATGTACATGAATAATGGCAACAGTCCCCTGAGCAGCCGCACCCCCAGCATGGACCTGCAGAACCCCTCGAGCCCTTTGTTTCGCTCCGCCTCGTCGCCTCACACCTCGCCTAGACCCTCCACCTTGCTGCGCTCCAACACGCACCTCCCGCTGCCTGTCAGGTCCAAAGAGAGGCTGAGGACGTCACCCTCTCTTCCCCTGGGTGTTTGCACCAAAGTCAGGGAGAGGCCTTCCTCCTTGGTGTCCCCGTCCTCACCTACTCCCTCCTCCTCCTCCTCGTTCTCCATGGACTCTCTGTTCACCCCAACTCTTGACATCTTCAAGAGCAGCGTGTTATCAGCAGGGAAGGGCGTGGCTGAGAAGGCCAGTCGCTTCTACTCCCGTCTGTCCTCACAGACTTCATTGACACAGGTTGGTTGTGGAGAACTTTTCTCCGTACTTACGTTTACCAATTTATCTGCTGATGAAGCTACCCCTATTGATATTTCTCTTCTCCTATACAGGATGCAAACAGCGACCAGATAAGTGTCTGCTCACTGACGTCAGGAGAGGCGGACTGCTCCTCACTGCTTGATCATGACTCCTGTCTGGACCCAGACGGCTTCACCTCCCCACAGCACGGCAGCGTGTCCCGCCTCAGGAGGAGCCCGGTTGTAGGTCATGCCAACCTGGGCAGCCCCAGCACCCCTGACAGAGTGTTCAGACACAACTCCTTCTCAGGTTTGTTGCACCTCCTTTAACATATTGTTGGAATAATACTGCTATAGCTTTGGTTTAACGATGAATCTAAAATGTTTGCCTCAGACGAACAACACAATCCATCTATATTAAGAGCAGTTGGCAGCCTTTACAAAGGCATCAACAATGTGAGAAGTCATAGCTTACAGCCATGCTTCTTAAATTGCTTTAACGTTGCATTGGATCCCAGCAAAACACTCTTACGATCTAAATTTAGAGTTGTTCTCAATGGAGAGCGTCGGCTGCTCTGTTCAAACTAGGCCAGCACCGGTGAGAACTGATTCAGTGTGTAGGCTGCTCTGCACCCAGCCACAGGACCAATGCTAAAGATAAACACATGAACATGCACATGTGCATGCATACTTACCTAAACAAACCCATACACACCAATTTCAAATAAAGATTGCTAACCTGCAAAACAAAACAAAAGTTTGATTTGCCGCTTAGTTTAATTTCCCCACTTTTGCTGTATTTAATCCAGACATGCAGCTTTAATCGTAATGTGAATCTTGGCTCTGTCTTGTGTGTCTAATTGTAAAATCCTTCATTGTATCCAGGTGGTTTGGCACTTCCTTTTAAAACTCCTCATACTCCAGATTCCTCCCCCGACACCAGATGCTTCCAGCCCACTCCCAACTACACCATAGAGGTAAATTACTCTCTTATATAAATCTCTCATCTGGACACTATCTCAGAGTCTCATGATTGAATATTACATTGTCTCTTCTGCTTCTTAATTCAGGTGCTGATGTCCAGCTGTTCACTCTGTAAGACGTGTGACTGTCTGGTCTACGACGAGGAGATAATGGCCGGATGGACAGCAAATGACTCCAACCTGAACAGCACCTGTCCTTTCTGTGGCACAGCTTTCCTGCCTTTCCTCAATGTAGAAATCAAAGACCTGAGACCACACAGCAGGTAAATGCTCACTTTACACTGACCAGTACACGCTATACAGTATATTCCCATAGTACTTCAATCAATTCACTGAATGTACTGCTAATATAAGGTTGAATGTATTTGATCTCATATGCTAGATTGTTTTATTTGTATTGGCTAGCTGACTTGAAAAGTGCTGACACATGCACACACACTCAGACTTTAATCATTTATTCATATTCTCTGCATCTCCTCTCAGGTCTTCTAAGGAGAGTAACCCTGTTACAGAGGAAGTCACTTCAGCGACTCTCAATCCCGAGACCAAAAGGTCTTCTTCAGACGATGCAGCTCAGTCCTCTAAAGGTCCCGGGCAAGAACAGGGGAGCAGCGAGAGGGCAGGGTTGCCCCGGGTGACGGTGCCCTACCTGAGTCCTCTGGTCCTGTGGAAAGAATTGGAGAGCCTGCTGGTGAATGAGGGCGACCAGGCCATCTCCTCCCCCAGTGTTGTGGACCATCACCCCATCGTCTTCTGGAACCTGGTGTGGTACTTCAGGAGGCTGGAGCTGCCCAGTAACCTGCCCGCTCTCATCCTCGTCTCCCAGCACTGTAGCCACGGAGACCAGGTAGACATGCAGGCGTCTGTCAAGCACACCCACATATAAATCGTGTGGATTGACCCACAAGTCAACATTTTAATAACTCAGCAATGGTTTGACATTTGTGGTAAAATGCGCTCGGGAAGTTTGCTGTTCTCACTTTGTTGTCGAGTTAGATGTGGATATCGATAACACTCTTATATCTGTATGCAGTCCGACAAGAGATTGGAATCGATCTTCTTCTGTAATTCTCTCCACGAAAGTAAATGAGTGTATTTCCCGAATGTCAAACGACTACTTCAAACCTCTTTTCAAAGAAAGAAGAAAGTTCTTTAGTGACTCCTAGTGGTAGTAGACAGAACCAAGCAATGCATAAGAGCAGAACATTGACACTTAGCAATTTTCTCTCTATTTTTTTAAACAAATGAAAACTAAATACTTATCCATGACTAAACGTTTTTTTGAATTCTTCCTGTTAGGGTTGTTACATACAGAGTATGTATTAATCGCTTAATATGTTTCACCCCTGCAGACTCCTCAGAACGTTTCATACGAGGACAGTAAGCAGGTGCTTGTGAGGATAATGTGGGACAACCTGAAGTTGCACAAAGACAAAGTCCAACCCTGCTATGTCCTGTGGAACTCACATTGTAAGTTACATTTGTTTTGATGTCATTTATTTAATTATGTTTCAAAAGTTAAATCGGCTTTAGATCATATTCTGCTGGCAAGTTTGATCAAGGTCAGATATTTACATGTAAATTAAATAATGCATATGAAGTAAACAAGAAAAACATGCATTATTCAGTTCAGGACTCCTAGAAGTCACTCCGACCTTATCAGTGCTTTACTCTCGGAATCCTGAGTGGTGGAGATGAATGAGCCTTTGATCAGAGTGGCTTTTTTCTCTTGATCTGTGCAGGTGCAAACTCCCTGGTTCGCTCTGGGCTGTGTGAAGAAGGGCAGCTCTTTACTGTGGAGCTCCTGCAGGGTTTTGTGAGGAGCATCAAGAAAAGTGATGTCTATCAGCCAATGAGCCAGATCATTCAGCTGCTGGGGCCAGAGCTGGGCTTCAAGAGACAGAGGTGAGGAAATAAAGGATTAAGCTTTCTGTGTATTAAAGATGATGTGTATGCAAAGTTTAATGGTTTTTTTTCTTTATACAAAAAGGAGCCTGTACCGAGACTTACTGTTCCTCGCTCTGGTGGCTTTGGGAAAGAACAACATTAATATCAGTAAGTTCAAAAGCATGATGTCCTGTTTTTAGCCATGTCAGCTGTCTGTCTGGCGCTCTGTCAACTACTTGAAATATCTCTTAAACTGTTGTATGGATTGCTGTGAAATATGGAACAGCTAACCATTTAGCCCAGATAATCCTACTGAATTGAATGACCCCTGAATATTCTGCCACCAGCAAGTCAAAGTTGTTATTATCTTGTGATCTCATTTACCGGAAGGATTCATTTGTGTTTAGTGCTTTTATCAGCAAATTATATCCTGCAAACACGCTATACGTCAGCATGTTAGCATTGACCGTGTGAGCATGTTAGCATGCTAACGTTAGCATTGAACTTGCCTCTGCGCAACTGGTTTTGTGACGCACAGCCTCACAAAATCATTGTCACTGCTATAAACTACTCTTTGTTATTTTCGTGGCTTTCAAATATAGTTAAATCACATATGACGTCCACATTTTTAACAAACTATTACATCTTTGCAGATGCTTTTGACCGGGAGTACAAGTTGGCATATGATCGCCTCACCCCCAACCAGGTAAAACTGACACACAACTGTGACCGGCCCCCGGGAGCAGGAGTCATGGAGTGCAGGAAGACTTTTGGGGAGCCCAGTCTGTAAACTACTTCTCCTCTTATGTCCCATTATTATTTTCCTTCAACCTTTGGTCACTACTGTTTTATTTTTGGACTGCTCCTCAGACTCAGGGTCAGCTCACCTGACTTAGCACAATAGGAAAATGACACTTAATGTAAAGCAACTGCCACGAGTTTATACTGTTAGAACTGAGAGACGTAGAGGGACGGCCTTGTGTTTGTAAATATGTTAAGAATCCACTGTATTTTCATTGTAACTATGGTGAAATGTTTGTACAGTTATTATACAATCTATTTTATGACTTTGTTTCTGTTAAAGCTGTGAGTAAGTATGTAAAAGTAAGTGTATGTCACATTGAAATTCATAAGTGGTCCTGGTGACCTTGTTAAGACTGTTGTTGAGTGTGTGTATAATAAGCACTTGCTTTGAGTCATTTGTGTTTTACAAAGCACTTTGACAAGATGAGCTCTTGCCATTCATTCCCATTACGTAACGCTGTGACCCAGCAGCCTACGCTTAAGTGACTTTTTATTTGACAGCTGAAGGACTCACTGCACTGTTTAACATTTCCCTTATATGCAGATAATGAAGGCAAAGACATTCCTCCTAATCTGCACCCTGTACACATAGCAGGGCCATGCTCATATTCCTGAATACACTAAACTAGATGGTAACAAAAAATATAAAACATTATTATTTCTGAATCAAGAAGGGAGTATGTCATATTTGTAAACGCACAATGTTTGTTCATTTATCCTTTTTTGTAAAATGTACCAAAATAACCCAAAAAGGGAATAATACTTTTGATTAATTAAAAATGTTTAAGCAATACTTTTTTTAATGTAATGATGTATGAGATAATGGGACCACCAAGGATATATTTCCTGAAAATGAGTACAATCAAACTTATAATGAATAAAAACAGAACATATGGTTTTCTGTTGGTTTAATCAACACAATGTTTTTGATAAAGAAAATAATGTATTGACACAGTAATGGATCTTTAAAAATGTATCTGATTCTTGTATTTGGTACATTTCCTTTTGTTCTTCACTGTATAGTGTAGATGTCATTTTTACACATTTGGACAAAAGTGCACTGTTTAATGTGACATACGGAACAAAAAAGGACATTTTAAATCTCTTTGAACAGATGATGGTGCACGTTTCTTTGCACTGAGAATATTTAAAGATGTTAATGTCAGGACGTCAGCTCTGACCTGCCCTACTTCAAAAATCATTTCGGAAAAATGTGTGTGATGGTTCACCGTGTTACAACTGTCTTTCACTTTTAACTGACAAAAACCTGCCTAGATACCACAGCTTATTACTGGACAAACCACAACAATTTATGATACGATGCTGGATTAAACATGGCTGTGTGCTTGGAATAAACACCAATATCACAACATGGACTGTACATTTCCATTTTAATCACCTTACAATCTGTGACAAAAAACAAACAAACACTGATGACCAACACTGATGACCAAAACATTTAATGTGTACATGTTGTTTACACTATTTGTCAACAATGTTAATGACATATTATTTATCATTTGTAACTGATAATAATTTGTATGATTTTTATATAAAAAAGAAATCAAATTTCTTCCCTGGCTGGATCTATAGTTTGCTTTCATTTATAAATAAAACACATTTATTCTACAGATGTTCAGTTTGATCATTTCCAAAGTGTGTGTTGCTATGCCTGACCTTTGTTTTATAAAATGCATGACATAACAGTGAGTTCAAGCAAGCTCATTTCCCCTATAATGAATGTTATTAAACACATGTTGGTGCAAGTTTACACAGACAATAAAAAATGCACATTTAGAAACCATCAACTTGTGCATATATTCTAGATTTCTAATTACATCCTGTAGATGCTGATTTTTAAACAGTGAAACAATCCATGTTGGTCTTCATTCTCTTCCACTTCCTACAATATATTACTTAATAGTAAAAGATGCAATTGTTACAAAAAGTGAGTATGTGACAAGTTCTAGGAAAGGTTGTAGTATGTGTTTAGTTGCCGTCATACCAGACACATTTTACTGGCATCAATGCAACTACAGTAGCTTTCTGCACAGTTTCTATAACTATTTAGATCCATGTTCATGAGATCCGCGTATGTAAGTTATTCCCTTTAGATCACAATAAACAGAATGCTCGTCAGCTTCTGCTCAGATGGAAACAGGGCAGACAATGATGCGATCCTCCAGCATCACACTAAGCACCAGGAAGACAAAGTAGAGCAGGAACATGGTGAAACCCAGCCTCTTATTCAACTTCCAATGACAGGATGCAATTGAGATGATGACAAAGAGGAGCATGATGAAGAGCAGCACGATGGCACAGAAGAGCCCGTTGCTGCTGACGGCCATTGGAGCAAAACCGTGGAGCGATGAGTACAGGAGCCATGGCACTGGAAGACTTATGAAACAAAGTGACAGAGCGAGAAACACAGAAAAATAGGAGACCATGGAATTAATCGTCTGAGTGTTCATGAGAACTTTTTTGTATGATCGTGACACAAGAGGATATTGCATCTCACCCCACTGTGATGTCGAAGATGTTGCTGCCCACCGAGCTGGACACAGCCATGTCCCCCAGGCCTTTACGCGCCACGATCACACTGGTGATGAGGTCAGGGATGGAGGTCCCTGCAGCCAGGATCGTCAGGCCCATAATCTCCTCTGAGATGCCGATGGTCTCACCCACCTACAGGGGCAAACTAGAGTTACATGTTCATAATACATGCATTATGTAATAGAAAAGCAAAATGGGCATCTACATTCATAAAATGTTGTATGCCATTATAAAAACAATGTTGATTCAGTTAATCACAAAATATCCTGAATCAAAATACCTTTTAAAAGATTAAATTGGTTCAATAGATTATTTTTCATTGGCCCAAACTTCTATAATGTGTGTACAGATGATGACATTTTGGTTGGTTATTACTTAATGCAAGTATTATTATTATATTTTCATTAAAAAGATAGAAACTGGAGAAATGTGTTACATATTGCTTTCAAGTTGTTCATTATAAACGCAGCAGATAAGTACAACACGTGGGTGTTATTATGTAATGAAATTCAAATGTATTAGATTTTTTTCTTTGTATTGTTACATAATAATTTCCTATTCAATCTCTAACCTAAACTCCAGTAGCTGACCTGATGGGCCCACCAAACCATGAAGTAGGAGAAAACGGCAATCCAGATGATAGAGCCCAGAAAAGTGGCGGCAAAGAAATGTCTGGATTTCTGTTCAACAAAGTAAGAGATGTTATAGCAAAAGTGTGGAGGTGTTAAAGATACAACAGCTTGTCTCAGAAATACTTCTGTCTTTACCTGGTTGCGAACATCTGGAACTGTGAGCCACAGAGGGAAGATGATGGGCAGCAGGAAGAGGTAGGTGGCTTGTTTACGTCGTGTTTCAGGCCACTCTAAAGACAAAGGCTCATCTTCTTTCTCCTCTTCTTCTTCATCGCCCTCCTCCTCCTCTTCCTCCTCCTCCTCCTCATCTTCTTCTTCTTCTTCTTCACTGGACTCTTTGCTATCTTCTTGACTGTCATCTTCCTCACTGTCAGAGCCTCCTGACCCATCCTCTCCTGTTGGCACATCCTCCTGACATGAAGAAATCATGATGAACAGTCGAAGCAGAACAGAATTAAAAGAACAACCAAAAGAAGCCTAAGGTAAGGAGACCTTTGCTTATAGTTGTTGCTACATACATTTTGACTCTGACATAGACAGGTATCAAAGACTGACTTCTGGGCTTTTTAAGTACCTTCTTGTCCTCTGGTTGATCCTGCTCATCCGGTGCTGGGGCCGCCTCTCGCTCTTTGGTCGCCTCAGGTTTATCTCCACCATCTGTGAAAGGAATCCCAAAAATGTTGTGCATTTCCCTGATGTCTCTTTAGCTTTCTGAAATACTTCCGATTCCAAGCCTTTAGGGCCAGTCATATGGAGAAATGCAGTGAATTTGCTGTTACATGATAAATGATGTTTTCCTTGTGGCAACTGAATTAAATGAACTGTCTATGAATATGTATTTGGATGTTATCACACACTCCTTTAGGCCATTTGCTTAGTCTTTACCACCCTTTGTGTGTTTCTGTAAGGGTATATTGTACCTGTATGCAACTTGATATTCTATTTTTTTTTACCTTCACAAGTATGCACTTTTCATTTTACTTTCTGCAGCCAAGCTTTGAGACTCTGTTCATGAGCAAGTTACAAAGTGTCTGTCCATTACATCATTCCACATTACCTTCACGTTTGTCCTGAGTTTTGTTCTCTGTCGCCCCTCTAGCCACACTATTCAGTGTCTCAGCCTTATCCTTAAATTTCCCTGCAAAAAAAATCAGAAATAAACTGAAGATTATACGAGGAACAAATTCAATTTCACAGGACAATGCCCTAAGCCCTTAATAAGTTAAGCATTGAAAAAACTGGCAGTAAAACATAATAACCTGCAACAGCATCAACATACTTCCTGCAGCACAGAGCAACGTCATGAGAGGACAAGTCCTACAATAAACAGTCATCATACGGTACATGAAGTATGCTCTTAGAATTTGTTTAAAATTGACAAGTATGTATTGTTTTTATTAATAATTAGAATAATTTGCTGTCCCCTCAAGTAAGCATCATTTATAACAGAGGTCGATATTGATTACCATGCAGTACACGGTATCAGAACATACATTTTAATATAAACTTGATTTGATATAACATTTAAAGCATGTCTAATTTTGGAGTCAGGCTGATACATTGGCTTCTGGCTGTGATCCAGAGTTTGTGGCTCTTCAAAAGCTTATTATTGTGTTGGAGTGTTTGCTGCCTGGAGGCCTAAGAGGTATCAAACCAGGAGTCAGAGCCAACACATTTGGGACATACGTATATGCACATTGTTGTACGAGACACGACTAACTTCTCAGGGAAAACCATTTGAAAAGCTGTTAAGGGTGAGTCTTTCCTCCCATTATTTGACCAACCTGCAGCACCTTATATACAGATAAATTAGTAAAGGACTAAAGGTGAATAACAATAATCTGTTGGCAGAGACAACTGTGTTTCTTGAGGTTTTTTTCACTGTGGGCCCACACCAGATGCCGCCATAGACCAAGGTATTTATCTGCTTAGTATAAATCTTAATTAAGTGCTGTCTTCATTTGGGAAACGCTAATCCATTTCCAATAACAAGGGGGAGGTAGTTGCCAACCACTCTTAACAGGAGCCCTTCGAAAGGCAGACAATGAGCAAAGATGAGGGCATCAGTGTGGGGATATGGTACTCACCCTCTCCTATAGGGTCCAATGTGTGGATCATGAGTTGAAAGACGGTGTTTCTCATGGTGCTGTTGTGTAAAGAAGCTGAGCTCCCCCCTCGCTGAAGGGATGGCTTCAACTGGGAAAAGAGAGGGCCGATGACACGGTAGCTTCTCATAATTGCAAACAATGAAACATCAATGATAGAGAATCGTGTTGTAGTGGATGCAATGCTTTTGTTTTTTTCTTAATAACATAATGAAGCAATTGAAGGAAGGCTTGTTTACTCCAAGTTACTATAAATGCAACCACAGAAAGGTCAATAAGATGTAGGATAACATGTAGATAATTGAACATTGTTAGTGTCTATGAGGATATGGTTATTTGTGTCTTTCTTTTTGGAGTTTATTATATGTTTTTTTTACCTTTAACAGTTTCTTGTCCCCTTTAGCAGGAAGGGCATTATGTTCAGCGTCGCCGTTTACCTGCATGGAACAATGTTTTTAACAGAGATCATTCATAGGAGAGATTAACCAACGTTTTTTCATTTTGGTAGACCCTAAATATATATGTCAAAAACAACTTAGGGGGTCTTGTTTGTGTTACATGGCAGAATAAAAAGATACAACTCTGTTTCATGAACAGGATTATGATTTTATGAAATTATACCTCGTTCAATTACATGAAATACAAATAAAAACCCTCTAGGATGATTATGTATGATGTAATAAAGCATTTTAAATATATTAGATAATTACATTTGCTGGAAATACAGCTCCATCAGTAGAACCGTGGCTCATACTGTAGAGCTCCAGATCCTCAAAGGATTAGTTTGTGTCATTGATCAGCTTTGGATCCACTAAAGCCTTTGCTAGAATCATTTCACTCTTTAACAAGATTTGCATAAAACCCCACAGGTTGCAGTAGACATGTCACGAGTGATTACTGATGTGACTTTCTGTTACCGTAATAAACTACACTGAAACAGAATGATGAATGAGGGAAAGGACACGTTTCGAATTTTAAAATGTTCTTATGTTTTATGGACCAAAAATATCACAAGATTTGCAAACGTGAAACTCATGACGAGATTTTTTTTGTCTTCAATAGTTGGACATATTGTTATTTGAAGCTCCATAGATTTGTTCTCAATTGCATACCATGGTAATTAAAAAAGTATGTCACACAACACTCTGATTTAAATGCCTTCAAGAATCATTGTTGTGTCAATTAAGGACATGAAAAACTAAATGTAAGATCAGAGTCATTTTCTGAGTGCTTACCTTTTCAGGTTCCCCGATAGCAATCCTCACAATGTTCTTGTTTTTGATGAGTAGGGACTTGAAGGTTTGTTCAATTTGCACATTAAACTTCATGAAAATCACATAGACAGTGTAACAGGCCAGCAGCATCAAGCTCTCCCACCACATTATGACATTATCCAGGAAGAAGATGATGAGTAAGATAAGGCCAAATATGTAGAAGGATCCATCTCTGAAAAGTGGCCACCAGGTGAGATGAAGTATCTCCCGTGAAAACAAAGCACACATCCCGATCACAAACAAAATGTTGAACACAGCTGAACCAACAATTGTGCCGATACCCACATTGCTGTGGGCGATGAAGACTCCTATCAAGGAGGTGAACAGTTCGGGGGCAGAACCTCCAGCAGCCATGAAGGTGGCTCCTGCTACATCGTCAGAGATGGCTAAAGTCTCTGTGATCACCCCCAGCGCAGGAACAAAGAACTCATCACACACTATTGCAAGTGAAATGAACATGTACAACATCCCAAAGACGTGGAGGATCACCCAGCCTCGTCTACGGTCTTCAACAGAAAATAGATCTTCAGGGTAGTCTCCCTTCAAGTATGGAGCTTCACCAGGAAGAGCTGGAGTTGGTGAGGGTGTCTCCTGTGGAGGCTCAGGTGCCACAAAGATGCAATGCACCATAGTCCGTTTTGTAGTTGGTGATAGTGGAGGTTCAGTGGGGGTGAATGCTTCAAAATTTGAATTTATATCCGAATGTGCCACATGTATCTCTGGCGTTGTTTGATCTGTTGGCTCAAATTCATGTGTTGCAGTGAGAGGTTCCTCCGACCCCTGAGTCTCTACTGTGGCCTCATTAAACCCTTCTGTTGAACCTTCTTCAAAATCCTCTCCAATCTGAGGCATTGGCAAAGGCTTGTACAGTCTGGCACTGATAGTCAGCTGGTAGAGTGTACAAAGAAAAACCCCGGAGAGGAGAAACAGGACCCGGCAGAGCTGTAGTCGCTTCCTCCTTGCACAAAACATTTTCCCTCCAAAGCAGTGGTGATACTGGCTATGGAGACACAACAACTCCAGCTCTCTCCCCAGCAGACCGTGGGGCGACAGAATCTAAAACTCTGGTGGCGTGATTCATGGCATCCTCAATCCCTTGGCAGCCTGTTGTGTTTCGAAAGAGGCATCAGAGACAAAATGATTAGAAAGCAGGTTACAAAGAATTAGGTTTCATTTGAAAACATGAGAACTATTCTAACAGCCGCCGTACTATTAAATCAATGTCTATCGTATAGTATTAGTGATAAGCTCATTTAGAAGCAGCTTTATCTGCATGTTGTTGTTTTTTTCCGAAACAGAATGAACAAAAGGAGAGAGGTGAAAACAAGAAAATAAAATAACCATTCAAATATCCTGTAAAAAGGGGCTAATCTAATTTCTACACAAATCACACAGAGAAAAACCCAATTAACTTAATTTAAAGAGGCAGACTTACCACAGAACCAATGTCTTCCAGAGTCGAGGGGGAAACAATATCTAAAGCCAGATTTCCCCTGATGGTTATTAGGGTGCAAACAAGTCCAAACTGATGCAAATGGCTGCAGTGCTATGTAGGACACGGGACGAGTCTTTATAATGGCTCAGCATAATACCTGAAGTCTTCTAAGAGGATTATGTCCATTGTCTCACTCTTACTTTATCAAGAGCCTACCTCTGTAATATGTCATTTAAGGTAACGTACACATAGTATTATCTGGCCATTGGTAGTAAAGATTGATATGACAGACTATAGGGATTTTTTCTGTGCTTTTATTAAACAAAGAAAAACTACTATTATTTAACAAATAAAATTAAATACAAATTTAAGAGTAATGAAGTAAAAAAGCAGGCTGACGACATGGGCATATTTTATTTTAGTGATATATTATCTAAATTCTCTATTTATATTTCAGTGTATACGGTTATTTGTTTTTTTCATACTTCTTTAATATAAAATATAAATGTAAAAATAGTCATACGAATTATATATATCTAGTTTATATATATTATAGTAGGTGTTTTTTTAACTTTTGGAGCAATAAGGTATTTTAAATTCCCAAAAATATGTTTTCAATATCAATAAAATCATCGACATCATAGCAATCATTTCAACCATGAGGACATGGATGTGGTTATAGTGTACAAATATAAATATGACTCATTTAAACTCCCTACAGAACTGACCACACTTCATTCAAGTTTACATCACAGTTCTTGGGAAGAGGCAGTGTAGCAACAGGTTTGAAAAGAGAACAGAGATCAAAGTTCTGCATAATGACCTGGAAATATCTTTACTTCATTTATGCAACAGAACTTATCTGCAGCCTCGGGTCACAGGAAAAGCTGAGTCACATCTAGCATTATTGGCTAATCGGACATGTTGCAATGTTGGTGCATAAAAGAGATGCAGAAGTGTATGTGTTTGTATACTAGCATAAAAGTTGCAGATTAAACTGTTACACTTGCCATCAGATTATAAATCCTACAAATGAAGGAGTCATTCATAAAAAATTGAAAGCATACACATATACATTTATATCATGAGCTTTTGTAACAAACATAATTCAACAATGTGTAAGCCCTCTCTCATCCACTAAACAGGACAGACAATGATGTGATACTCCAACATCAGGCTGAGCCCCAAAAAGGTAAAGTAGAGCAGTAACATGGTGAAACCCAGCATCTTATTCAACTTCCACTTACAGGAAGCAATAGAGATAATGAAAAAGAAGAGCATGATGAAGAGCAGCACGACAGAACAGAAGAGCCCGTTGCTGCTGACGGCCACTGGAGCAAAACCGTGGAAGGATGAGTACAGGAGCCATGGCACTGGAAGACTTGTGTAAAGAAAAAGACAAAGAAACCTGTCGTCTGCATGTTAATCAGAGTTCATTTTAAAATTGTGAAACATCAGGTTGCTTCAGCTCACCCCACTCTGATGTTGAAGATGTTGCTGCCCACAGAGCTGGACACAGCCATGTCCCCCAGGCCTTTACCGCCAATCACACTGGTGATGACGTCAGGGAGGGTAACCCCTGCAGCCAGGATCGTCAGGCCCATAATCTCCTTTGGGATGCCAATGGTCTAACCCACCTAAAAGTGTAAACCAGCACATGAATACAATATACAAAACTGATCTCAGGGGCTCAAAAACACTCTTAAACTTGGTTTCAATACACAATCACTGTTTCAAGGAGAATTTGATCAGACTTTATGTTAATGTCAAAATCCGTTTTTCTGCTCTCAATTAACCTCTTTGTTGAAACCGCAACTTGTCCCTTTAACTGCCATTTTACCTCATAGCTGTTGTCTTTAATGTATCTTGTAAAGTTCAATCTTGTATAACACTATAGTTGTTCATACATCTGTTTTTTGTACTTTTCTATTCATCTGTACTAGGGCTGCACGATTTGGGGAAATAATCTAATTGCGATTTTTCTGACAGATATTGCGATTCAATTTGCAATATTTGTTTTTAAGCGACCCAACGGAAGTTTATTGTAAAATGCGGCCATATCTCCGGCTAGGAAGTTCGTATCAACGTGCTCCCGTCTCTAGTACCCCCGCAGCCCGAGCTACGAGTGAAAGAACTAAACTTACATGAAACTTCCGTTGGGTTGCTTTAAATTCAAGCTTCAGTTTAAGATTCACCCTGTAATAGATGTAAAACATGTGATGGAGCATTACTAACCTGACTTCTAGGAAATCTCCATTGGAAGCCATTTGGGAAGGGCAGGCACTTTCAAAAATACTTGGCAGGAGATTGGATCAATCTGTCACCTATCATGTCACACTATCATGTGCCACTTCTGATTGGTTAACAATGACTGGTTGTGGAGCACAGCACTTCTGATTGGTGTGGATGACTGACACACAAGAAAAAAAAAAAATTAAACAAAGAAAAAAAAAAAAATCGCAGGCTTTGCGATTTGATAATTGCATCATTTAAAATTGCGATTTCGATTTAAAATCGATTAATCGTTCAGCCCTAATCTGTACTTATTTCTGTGTTGAAACCCGGATTTCTATCATCAAAAGGAAGGCTTTTCTTATGTGATCTTATCTTAGACTTTAAACTTTACTGACCTGATGAGACCACCAGACCATGAAGTAGGAGAAGATACCAGGAAGGTGAACACAAATCAGTTTCTGGATTTCTGAAAGACAAAAACACTTGTGGCATTTAGGAAACCAACAGCTGGTCTCAGAGATGTGTCTGGGTATTTACCTGGTCGCGAACATCTGGATCTGTGAGCCACAGAGGGAAGATGATGGGCAGCAGGAAGAGGTAGGTGATTTGTTTACGTCTTGTGTCAGGCCACTTTAAAGACAGAGGTTTATCTTATTTCTCCCATTCTTCTTCTTTGTCATTTTGATTTGCTCTAAAGTGAATGCTGTCTTCCTTCCGTCAAACATCTTCAGAGCCCCCTGACCCATCATATCCTGCTGTCACGTCCTCCTAGAAACAGGCATTGGATGTGATCATGCTGGACAATAGTTAATAAGGCATAAGAAATGAGAAGAATAGAAATGTGTATTTTCTCGTTTATCAATTTAGGAATGATGCTTTCTAAAAATATTTCACATATAACAAACTGTTCTGTGCTTATTTTAAACTCAAATGGAGAAAACATTACATTTTGTTCCATAGAAATTATAAACCAGTATTGTGAACAATTTTTGAAACATTCATGTATAAAGTCCATGTTGATCAAATACCTGAAAAGTGTTACAAAATAAACCTCTCTACAGGGTTTTTCCCACACTTAAAAAATAATAATACTAGATGTATTATATTGAGTCAGTGAAGAGTAGTGGGACACAACATATATCAAATATATTTGAAGCAAGAACATGTTTCAATGATTGCTTACCTTTTCAGGTTCCTCCACAGAAGTTTTCACAATCTTCTTGTTTTTGAAGAGTAGTCTTGAAGGTCCGCTCTATTTGAACATTGCACTTGCATATGCATATCACAGACAGTGTAATTGCCAGCAGCATCATGCTCTCCCACCACATAATGACATTATCCAGGAAGAAGATGATGAGTAAGATAAGGCCAAATATGTAGAAGGATCCATCTCTGAAAGTGGCCACCAGGTGAGAAGAAGTACTTCCCCCAGAGCACACACTCCAATCACAAACAAAATGTTGAACACAGCTAGACCAACGATTGTGCCGATACCCACATTGCTGTGGGCGATGAAGATTCCTATGAGGAAGCCAAAAAACGTAGGAGCGGATCTTCCAGCAGCCATGAAGGTGGCTCCTGCTACATCGTCAGAGATGGCCAATCTGTCTGTGATCACTCCAAGTGCAGGAACAAAGAACGCATCACACACTATTGCAAGTGAAATGAACATGTACACCATCCCAAAAATATTGAGGATCACCCAGCCTCGTCTACGGTCTTCAATAGAAAACAGATCTTCAGGGTAGTCTCCCTTGAAGTGTGGAGATTCACCAGGAGATTGTGTGGTATTCAAATGATGAGCCACATGCTTCTCTGTTTCATCTGTGGGCTTTAATTCATCTGTTGCTGTGAGGGATTCATTCAACCACTGAGTCTGTACTGTGGCCTCCTCGACCCTCTTTGTTGAACTTTCTCCAACATCCTCTCCAATCTGAGGCATTGACAAAGGCTCGTTCAG